AATATCCTCTATGAGCATTAGCTCCCTATAGCCAACTTTTAAATACAGAACAATATTAAATAGTATTTGGCACAATTTCAATATGCCGGTGGCCCAAGTAAGGAGGTGCATACCCCATTAGCTAAAACAACATGGAACTTGGGCTTAGGCCTAAGCCAAATGCCAAATAAAAAATAAAATAACTTAATGGGAGCCAAACTAATGTCTCAAGCATGCTATCCTTACTTCACATTTAGAACCCTCTATAGCTCCCCCAATACAAAACACACACCTTGGGAGTCTTAAGAGTTAGTCTCTAAGACAAACTTAAAAACTTATTAAAGGTAGAATGGTGTTAGATTGTGAATCAAGACACAAAATAATACCACAGTGTTCTTGATATTCTCCACATTTCGTAAATATACCTCTCAGGTAGATTTAGATGCTTATTATAAATAGCATATATATCCGAAACAGAACCAACATATGGGGCATAATAGTGAGGGTGTCTAACAGACATGATGACTAAGTTCAATATCATAGGGTTCCTAACACTAACAATGCAAGTAAACAAATAAATTTCTTTAACCAAACCAAGTATCCTTAACTAATAACATTTAGAAATTCCATTATGCTCATTTGGTTAGATAGAGACCATGTCCAGAATTAATAGTACTAATCTTATGTAAGACAATTAGTTATCCATCTGGAATCAGTAATATTGATCCATTATGCTCATTTAATTAAATAGAGACCATGCCCAGAATTAATAGTACTATTCTTATATAAGACAATTAATTATCCAAAATCAATAATATTGATCTTATGTGAGATAATCATTATGTTTGTGGATGCCCTACAAGATGAAGGATATACTATATATATAATTTCAATATTTTAGGGTAAGAATATACCTTGCTCAAGAGTATAGCCACTAATAAACGGGAATTGAACTCGTACTATTTGCATATAATAATACACCCTATCTTAATCCAACTGAAAAAAGGGGTAATTGTTTAATAAAAGATTTTTTAATGGCTATTTTATCCATATTTACTCTAATGTTTTAAGGATCCACAATGATAGTATATATAAATTTCATCCTATAGTCATATATATTACATCTACAAAATGTAAAAAGTGCCTAAAAGCCATTATATTGTTCTTGCATCTCAATTTACAATCTAGTGCCATTCAAATTTTCCAAAACTAATTCCTAGAACTAAGATGAAAGCCTCAAAAAGAAGCTCTCATGTGTGTGTGGGGGGGGGGGGTGTCTAAGGGACTCAAAATATATAGATATATAGTAAAGATAGTGGTTAGAAACATAGTTAACCATTTGTGGTTTTGCCAACCAAGGCATAACTTGTAGTCACACCTTTGACAATTTTATATATCATCTTTCTCCATCGATTGAGGATGTTCCATCACTTCTGGCACATTCTGTTCTAGAACTAGACTAGAGCTGGAGTATTCAAGAATTTCCAGACCATCATTAAGTGCAATTGGATCATGCATTAGCTTGGGCCTTGAGGGGAGTATAAGATCCCATCAAGTGGTAGGATATGGGGAGTAGTGGGGCAAGTGAGGATCTAAAGCTCTTGGGTGTTGTTACAAGACGTGCTTAGCTTTGGCAAAGTGTGGAGAAGATTCCTACTTAGCATCTTAAGGCTGGGAGCAAATTTTCCTGCAACAATGGCTGATGCTTATGTTCACTTTAGGTGTAACACTTTGCTTAAAACAACTAAATTGGTATTCTAGCCACTAATGTAATATTTTTTCTTTCTGTATCTGTTATTTTCTCTTTTTGTCCCTGAAAAACAAAAAATTGAATAATATATTATTCTTTAACAAGTAAACCATATTTTAATTTTAAACCTGACCTAACGAAATGTAGGGTTCATGGCGAGCAATGCACAGAAGGAGGCGGATTCGCACCTCAAAGCTCTGATGGCATGGCCAGAGAATCAGAAATGTGCTGACTGTGGAGCCTCCAAGCCTCGGTTTGCATCCATCACGCTGGCTGTCTTTCTGTGCAATCGCTGCTACGGGATCCATCGCGGCGTCGGTGCTCACATCACGCGCACCAAATGCGTGGGGTTGGATCGATGGGGCCCCGAGGAAGTGCATCGCATGAAATGCATTGGGAATGCGGTCGCATCGGCGTATTGGGAGCGTAAGTGTGAGAACTTCACTCCCTTTATCTTTCTTTTTATCCTGGACTGATTTGGCGTTCTTTTAATTTTGTAGAGAGACTGCCTCAAGGAATCCAGCGGCCATCGCCGGAATCGCCGGACTCGGAGGTGGAGAGATGGATCAGAGACAAGTACGAGAAGAGGCTCTTCTGCCCTCCGGATTTGCCTCCTCCCGAAGCTCCAAAGTTTGCGATCGAGGTACTTCAAAGAGTTTTCTTCGCTGATACTTTGCTAAAAGGTTTTTGACAGGAAACGGGAGCGTCAGTACGTTCTTCCGACTGGAAACCATTTGGATAGATGGATACGTTTGGAATCCAAGTGCCTGGAACTTCTGTTACTTGATAGCGATCTCTGGCTTGCGTGCCGCAGCCGGAATAGTTAGATCCAAGAGATCCAAGGGAATTCTGGTCTTCTACAACTCCACAAACTAAGTACACAAGCTTTTTTTTTACCTTCTGGCAAGTTGGCGGGGCATGTTTTCTTAACTTGTCTCTTAGATGTCACTTTTCACCAAAAGAGTTTTGGCAAGATCCGCACCGGGATAGCGATTGATCGCTCCCGCTAACTATCCAATTTCTGTTCATGATGTGGCTCTCTCCGAGCAAGATGTGTCGCTTTTACAAAAGCTGACGTGAGTCCTCTCTGTCGCCAGCGAGATCCGTGCTCGCTTTGCCAGCCACACACCTCTTACATCTCGAGAAGTTACGCGAGAACATTTGTTTCAAGAATGGCTGACGGACTCGTTGTTGGATTGATCCCCAGGAAGACAAAGGGAGGCCACGTCGGGAAGTCGGGCAAAGACACGAGATCATCAATCTCCTCATCAATCATCAACTTGTTTCGTGTAGGTTTGATCAACTTCCGGTCTGCAGGTCAACGCAAATTAAACCTTCCCACATGGGCAGACCTAGAAGCATCGCTCATCAATGAGGTCAACGTGGAATCATTAACGACCGCAGCTACTACTACTACCGAGTCCACCCTGGTCAACATATGGTCAATTGAGGTCAACACTCCAGCACGCTTCTAACACTCGCACCAACCACAAGAGATCCCCCTGGAATCTTGGTGGATCCCTCTCTTTTACAGCGGTGTGGGATGGTTTGGCTTTGCGCCGGGGCGAGTCTTGTGTGAACCACGTGGATTTTGTTTTGAGCAATAACGCCATTTCTTTGTACTTCCAACTTGGGTGACGGAAATGTACAAGGCGAGTTGATCGCCAATCCTATCAATCAAGCTGCTATCAATCTAGAGCCTTTACTCTCCTATAAGTTGAGAAGCTTATAAATGGTGGTGGTGGTGGTAGTGTTGTGAAATGTATACTGTTGAGCTGATCCTCTCGATCATCAATAGACGAGAGCCGAGAGTTTCTTGTTGGAGAGGATCTGCTCATTGCTGCCAAGGAAACGAGCGCGAAAGTCGAGTCAGAGAAGATGGAAGTGCCAGTTTGATGCATAGATAACCAAACCTTTTCTTGACATTGCTGCCAGTGACAATGTCTCCGAAGCATATGTATCGCCCCACCGCGTTGGGCTTCTCCAGAGCTACGAGATGCGCAGACGCAACTTCTTCAACGTGAGCGTACGCCAGCACTTCGTCACGGTGGAGTTGCCTCAATCCTGGTCCATTTTGACAAAAGATTATCGCTCGTTCAAAACTTGTAAGTTCTTGGGGAGCTACCTTGTATCGAGGGATCCCGGGAAACAACCGTGGCCGGATTTAAGACCACCATATCGAGGCCTTTGTCGAGGGCGAGAGCCCAGGCAGCGCGCTCGGCCAACGTTTTCGAGAGAGGCGACCATAGCTGAGCTCAAGAACAAGACAAGGAATAGTGTCAGGGCGACAGTGTGATGGACACACACGCAAATCTTACCTTGTTTTCTCTGCAAAAATCCAGATTTGTCCAGCACTTCTCGTCCAGAGAAGTTTCCTCCTGCGTGTAGACAATGGTGGAGAGACACGAGGTAAGAACCAAGCGCCTGACGGTCTCGGAGTTGGCGCACGCCTCCACGACATTGAGAACTCCCTTGATTTCGTACTCGATCATGTCGGCCTGGAAGAAAAAGAAGAAAGAATCTTTCTAGCTCGCAAGAAAAACATTAAACGAGAGTGTTTCTTTGGCTCACCGGATAGTCTCGCATTCCATTCATGTCGTGTGGCGCTGGCGAGTGGATCACTCCCGAGCAGCCCCGGATCGTCTTTGCGAGGCTCTTGTAATTGAGAACGTCGACCGAGACGAGGTGGAGCCTTTGCGCGGCTCCTGGCAAAGATTGGAGCTGGGAAAGCTCCTCTGCGAGAGATCACAGCTCGTTAGGAAGATCACATCATGATCCAAAGAACCTACCTGAGCTTATACGGACTCCACAACGAACAGAGTATCCTCGCTCCAGAAGCAGCTTCACAATCCAAGAGCCCATCAATTCCCAGCTCCCGGTGACACACACGAGATCGACAGTGTCCTCAGCACCCATTGTAAGACCAGAGAAATAAAAACAAGAAAAGAAACGAGGGAGAGAGACGAGAGATCAAAGAGTGGCGGCGATGAGTGGAGGAATTGGGGGGCGCGGGGCGGGATTTTATAAGCAGGAGCAACGAGAGGCCACGAAACCCAATTCGGGTAAAAAGGCGAAACGTGGAGGGAGTCAATCTATGGCGGGGTTGACTCGCGGCGACCGGCAACGACCGCGAGAAGATGGCTGGCTATGGCGCGCCGAGAGAAAGAGAGAATGACATTAAATACGTACAGGTGGGGAGACAAGATCGTGACCGTTCGTTGCGGGCGGTAAATGCGACACAAGCAACGGTGATGGTGCCTAATACTATGGGTTATTCAAATGATTTTGATTGGATTGATTAATCATAGACTAGCACTCAGTAGCGATGCTCTTGGCCACAGATTCTACAGTGGAGGGTGTCATGGAGTTTTCTCCCAAAATCCACTCGATAATGGAAGTGGAAACGTTCTCGTTGTTGACAATGAAGCTGGAAGGAGCTTTTGATCCTTCCTCGTGAACGAAAACCTGCGAGAATCATACATTGATTTGGAAAAAAATCTTTCCTGAGAGGAATTTTTGAGATCTTGCCTCAACGTGAGAGCTTGACGATGGCCACGAGTAGACGATGGTGGAGTTTGGCTCCAGTTTCTTGCTCTGGAAGAACTCGCAGAGATTTGCGAGAGCTATCTCCTCGTCCTCCTCGTATTTGTCATCGTAGGCTAGCCTGTCGCGAACGCTGGTCTCGATTGTGGATGCGTACTGGCTCCCAAGTTGCCCCTTGACGAGCAAGATCTTGATGAGCTTGGAAACCGGAGCTGCGAATTTTTTCTAAGATTTTATTTTTCTTCCCGAGCGAAAAGAATTGAATCACTCACCTTGTATGAGCTGCTGGAAAAACGCACTGCCATCCTTGAGGAGCTCGGATACCGGGAGGCACTTGAAGGACTGGAGATGATCCTTGACTTGCGGAGCAAAGTAAACGCCGATCTTGGTGAAGATGACGTGAATTGTCTCGATGGTCATGTCCGTGATGCCTGCGAAAAAAGCAATGGTCCGCAATCACAGCGAGCAGCAAACAGAGATTCTTACCATGCCCCAGGAGAATGAGTGTCTCCGACGAGGAGGGAGATTGAATGGATTGCGCAAAAGTGGGATCCATCTCCATCGCTTGAGCTTGGCCACTGGAGAAAAAAGCACGAAAGAAAGAAGAAAAAGAGAATTCAAGTGCTTCTATCTTTGCGTACTCCAAAGCATTGAAGACAGGGATGAGAGGAGGGCATTGGGGAAACGTTGAGAAGATCGACAGTAGCCACGTCTTTGTTGTGTGAGGTCCCAAACTCCGCTGATTCTCCTCCTACCCGACGACGCTCGGCTTGACTGGCCGGTGTCAAAGAGAATTATTAGGGTTCTTCATAATCCATTTGAAATATTTGTAATGTTATGTGCCCTAAATCGATGAGAGCATTGAGGAGCATGAAGGCGATGCTCGCCTTGGGTGGGATTACTGCGGTGTGGCTCTTCTTCCAATGGATCATGCTTCTAGGTACCAACATTGGATCTATCTCCTCAAATCCTCTTCCTATCGTTTTTTTGGTTTGGATTTCTAGTTCCAAAGCCCTGGGTTTCTCTATCGCATGAAGATAAGAGCACATTGAAGGAGTTCCATGGTAAATTTCATCAGTGTGTTGTAAGTGCTGGCGAGCTTATCAAGTTTTATCCTGGCTGCGATGATTTGCTTGCAGCGAACAAACGGGATTGGAATCTACAGCAGGTCTATGGATTACTGCACTGCAAACTTCTACTTTTCTCATGATACTGAAGCGAAATGGGTATGCTTCAATAGTTTTCATGGTTGTTTTGATCTCCTCGCTTGTTTTATAGACGGATCCAAAGACTGGAAATCTCGAGCCTCTCACTTACAATCTGGATTTGTGCGAGGCAATGAGAATCTGGGAACAAGTGAGATTTTTTTTGGTTTCTTGACATCTTTTTTTGCTTATACATGAATGAACTTAAAATTTGCTCCAGGTTCGCAACAGCAGTACGATTCTTACAAAGGAATACATCGATGGTTTACCAAATGGCTGGCATGACTACGCTTGGAAGAGAATCAACAAAGGCATTTTGCTGTATGTGATTCTTTTTCTTTTGGTTTTAATACCATTAAACATGACAACGCACAGGAGAAATTGCGAGGATAAAAAGCTGTGCTTGGATAAACTATCGAAAGTGCTGCCAGATACTCCACCCTTTGTGCCTCGTCAATTTGGACGCTGTGCTGTTGTGGGAAATTCTGGTGACTTGCTCAAGGCAAAGTTTGGCAGGGAAATAGACGGCTTCGACGCTGTAGTAAGGCATAATGGTGCTCCAATAGAGGTAAATGATTTTTTTCTTTACGATTCGTGTTATCATTCGATATCCTGATAGTTCGTGACAGAACTATACAGATTATGTTGGCTCCAAGCGTAGCTTTCGACTTCTCAACCGCGGATCTGCCAAGGCGCTGGACAAAGTAGCAGAATTGGATGGTTAGTAGCTTTAAGTTTTTGATGTTCTATAGTTAAATGGATATCTCAGGAACGGGAAAGGAAGTTCTGATTGTCAAAACCACGATCCATGACGTGATGACGAAAATGATCAAGGTAATCTTTCTGTCGTCTCTGGTTTCTCGTTTAAGCTCTGTAGTTTCATCAGGAAATACCGATCATCAATCCAGTTTATTTGATGCTCGGTGCGTCCTTAAGCTCTTCGGCAAAGGGGACCGGCGTAAAAGCTTTGGAGTTTGCATTATCAGTTTGCGAGACGGTGGATATCTACGGATTTACTGTCGATCCTGGCTACGTTGAATGGTTTCCTTCTCTTTCTTTACTTTTTTCCTGCTGCTTGAATTCTACTTCACGTTTTTACAGGTCTCGGTATTTCTCGGAATCAAGAGGCGGTCACACTCCGCTACTGGGAAGAGCTTATTACCAAATGATGGAGTGCTTAGGAGTAAGAAGAACTACTTCATCTCGATGATTTAGCTAATCCATTGCGTTTTGCAGCTAATCCGGATCCACTCGCCAATGCGCTTGGCAAGGGGCAGCAAAAGTGGCCAAGTTCCCAGCAAAAGCACTCTTGATGCTGCAAGAAGAGTTTCTCAAAAGATAGTGAGGTGAGGTTTCTTACACTGTAGAAAAGTCACTCAAGTTTTTTGTGGGCCTCACGCAGGAACGATGCTCACAGTGATCCACTGAGCTCTTGTTCTATATGGAAAAAGAGGTCGCACGGCCATCGCCGTGTGCTTCCAGCGAGTAAAAAAGCGGCCGAGCACGATAGAGTCGTAAAGAGCGTCACTCAGTACCCACTAGAGCATGGCACTGGGATGCTTTGTGTCCAAAGCTAGCGCGTTTGCTCCAACCTTTCAAGTCCCCACAGGTGGGCGTTTCGAATCCCGACGCGTGCAAAGCCTGCTCCATTGCCACGCGTCAAAATTATTTCCCTTCTCGGATACGAGCATTCAAAAAATTTCTTTTTTATGGCGTACAGATTTTAGGGCTTAGCGATTCCAGCGCTCTGGCGGGAGCGGCGGGTTCCGGGCGAAGCTTGTAAGTCTCTACTCGTAGATGTAGCTGCGATTTCTTCGTGTAATGCACTGGACTTTCTCGCGGCATTGGCTAGAATGCGAGCTGCTTGAGCTTAATCCATCGCTCTTTCTCCGGAAGAACTTTCGCGATTGAGTTTAGTCCATGTTAGAGCTGCTTGAACAATCGAATTCATCGCTTAGAAGAGGGAATTCTCACTCTTTATGGTTTTTTTTTGTGTGTTCCAGATATTGGAGGGATATTTTTCTGGATGTATATCTAGATGGTTGTTTCTTTGGCGGTGGCTCCAGTGCCCTTGTACACAGCAATTGCCGGAGCCTGTGGAAGTACTATCGCGAGCACTCATCACAACAACGAGGCTGATGGAAAGGTGAAGCTTTCAACGTTCTTACGTATCGACTCGCGGGGGGTTCCGTTCTATGGTTTGAAGGCAGACGTCCATTTTCTATCGTCGAAACGCTGGCGCTATACACTCTTGACGTGCGTCGCGTTGGACAAGGGATGGAGCCAGAAGCGTAGCGGCGATTCGGGTTTTAAGCCGCTGGTAGAGCACACGTACAGAACTGCTGCAAGTTTAGTGTCCGAAGCCACAGGAAAGGAGAAGAGTTTTGAGGCTACAGTTGCTACAGGATCTACTCCAAGTTCATCATGGGACTATGCGAACTCGTCCAGGGTGCTCGGTGCCTCTCGGTTTGCTGTCCTCCTTGGAGTGGTGATCACGATTTTTGGAGCGGTGTCATTGACGGCTGTTTTATTTGGAAGGTGGTGGAATCGGTTGAGAAATCAAGACAGGAATGATTTGAAGACAAGTGATTCTTGGCCTGGAGGAGTCGCAAGTCCGTCAGTTGTGTTTGAGGCTCCCTCGGCTTTTTCGTTCTTTCTGAAGAAAGACTTGAAGCGGAAAGAGTCTGTAGAATGGGTGAACATGGTTCTTGGCAAGCTCTGGAAGATATATCGCCGTGGCTTGGAAACCTGGCTCGTTGGACTTCTTCAGCCTCTGATCGACAATCTTCATAAGCCGAGCTATGTGCGGAGAGTTGTGATCCAGCACTTTCACTTGGGAGACGAGCCCTTGACGGTAAGAAGTGTGGAAAGAAGAACATCTCGTCGAGCGAATGACTTGCAGTAAGTTGACGTGACTGTGACTATGTGAGTACTGACTGCCTTTTTATCAAGGTACCATATAGGCCTCAGGTACACGGGGGAAGCAAAGATGCGTCTTATGATCACTTTAAGCGCCGGCTTTCTTCCTGTCATGATTCCTGTTGGAGTTCGGGGTTTCGATGTGGACGGAGAAATTTGGGTGAAACTACGATTGGTTCCGTCAGAGCCGTGGATCGGCACCGCAACCTGGGCCTTCGTATCTTTGCCAAAAATAATTCTGGCCTTGGCACCTTTTGGTCTTTTCAACATAATGAGTAAGTGAGCTACTGCTCTTTGAGCCTTACTAATCGTCATTTTTGTGTTCTACACCAGCATTTCCGTTCATTTCAAGGTATTTAATACTCTTTACTTTTGTCAATTTCTGGCTCTCTAAGTTTTGATTGTGTGCATGAAGATTTTTGACAAAGCTGCTTACCGAAGATCTGCCACAGCTGTTTGTAAGGCCGAACAAGATAGTTGTCAATTTTCTAAAAAATCCGGCAAGTGGTCCATTTGCTCAACAGTTTCAAGACGAAGGTGTTAACGTGGAAGGCAGCAAAGACTTTACTGGGGAGTTGTCTGTCACTCTAATGGATGCACGGAAGCTGAAGTATTTCCCAATTGGTGAGTTAGTTTTTTTTGGATTTGAACGATTTCATTGACATTATTGTACCTCCCAGGTAAGACGGATCCGTATGTAAAACTGATGTTGGGCGATCAAGTGATTCGTAGCAAGAAAAACAGCCAAACATCTATCATCGGACCTCCGGGAGCCCCGATATGGAATCAAGTAAGTTTTTCTTCGTTTACAAACGATACGACGGTGTTTGGTGCATTTACAGGACTTTCAGCTGCTGGTTGAGGACCCAAAGACCCAAAAAGTAGCTGTCCGTGTTCGAGATGCCGTTGGCTTGGGAGTTTTCACTATCGGGTATGGCGAGGTAAATGATCCTTCAGTCTGAAAACTATATGCTGATGTGCCTCTTTGTTTTGTAGATTGATCTGAGCACACTACAAGATACCGTTCCTGTTGATAAAATCGTGACACTTCGAGGTGGCTGGGGTTTTCCTAAACGTTTTGCTGGAGAGATTATGGTCCGATTGACTTACAAGGCATATGTGGAAGATGATGAGGAAGAAGATGACGGGCCTTTCAATCAACTCTCGGACGTCGAATTGGACTCGGACAAGGACGAGTTTAGTACGAGGAAATTCTTTCGCAAGAAGAGGAGACTGGACTTTCTGAGGGACTTATTCGCTGCTGTGAACGTCGTCATCAAGGACTTCGGCTACGATAACGTCCTTGTAGAACCAAAGAAATTCGTCGACAAGAAGCGAGAACACGCGCAAGGTGATGGTCACAGGGGATCATCTCAAAGTGAACCGAGGCGTCACGGTGATACGGGACGGCTACCGCCTTCAAAAGCCAAACACAGACAGGTGCCACCATCTCAAAGTGACGATGGCGCTGGGAAGAAATCACAGGAGGTGACGGACCAGGGAAACTTGCAAGAACCAAGACCTGATATTCCTGCACAGACACCGGAAGCCGAGAAAGAACAAGCCGAAAAAGAACAAGCTGAGGAGACAAGAAGAACGAGCTTGAACTCCGGAGGTGGAAGAACCAAAGCTTCCGGACGGTGGACCGAGAGTAAGCAGTAGATCATCTTTTCTCAGTTCCTCAGTCGTGGTTTGCTGCAGATCCAGCAGTGTTGTGGCTTGGTCTAGCGACGGGCATTGCGCTGCTGGCAGCGCTAAGCCTCAACTTCTCCAACTTGGTCAATCCGTGATCATTTTGCAATTTTTTGTAAGTAAGTTCGCAATGTTATTACGATTCTTTTCCTGTCAATAGCCAGAAGAGAAAGGCAGGGATTTAACTCTCTAGCCGATCGAAAATTGCTACTGGAGACCAATTCTTTGCGCTACAGACCCCTTGCTTCTATCCTGCCCGAGCGACGACGACGCCGATACCTTGGAAGGTCGGGAAGGAGCTCCCTCACCAGTAGTGGCCGCGGCAGCGGCGGCGGCGGCGGCGCGCTTGCGAGCATCCTCCAGCTCCTCCTTGTCCTCCGCCTTGAGCTCCAGGCGCGTGGGCTTGCGACGCAGCATTTTGACCGATCAATTCTTTAGGGTTCTTATCTTAAGTTCTTTCTCCGTACATTCCTGTGATAGTTTTCGGGATTTTACATTTTGTTATCCGTACATCCACGTCACTATGACCAAGGGCCTAAATTCGTAGGAATTCCCCCTATGATGTGTCTGAAACTCGAGGGAAGCTAGGCTTAGATGGCGGTGCTATCTATCTTACAATCATGCTGCGGCCATGTCTTCCGGATTGGGGCCTGCGACGGAGGAGCCCGGGCGCACTGGAACTTGGGCCTGCCTCTCGTGGAAGTCCTTGATCGCCGGCTCCATCGCCTTCTTCCTCTTCGCGTCGTAATCTTTGATCGCGGCTTTGATCGCATCCTCGGCAAGCATGCTGCAGTGGAGCTTCACTGGCGGCAGCGACAGATGCTTGGCGATGTCACTGCGAAGAAGAAAGAGGAGAGAGCTTAGCCTCGGAGAAATCCTCTCAAGAAGAAAAGTTACTTGTTTGTGATCTTCGACACCTCGTCCATCCCCTTGCCTTTGATCCACTCCGAGGCTACAAATCCAGCGAGCCAGTGCGAGATGAGAGGGCCAAAAGAGGAATTCCAAGAAAGAATCTCTTACCCACGGAAGACGATGCGATAGCCGAGCCGCAGCCAAACGTCTTGAAGCACGAATCGACGATCTTGCCGTCGTCGCCGACGCGGATTTGGAGCTTCATCACGTCGCCACAGGCGGGAGCTCCGACCAGGCCGGTGCCAACACTGGGGTCGCTGGCATCGAAAGAGCCCACATTCCTGGGATTGTTGTAGTGATCCACGACCTTCTCATGGTAGAATCGGACCCTAGACGCTCCGCCAGCGCGGCCACGCGACACGATCTGCCTCAGCATCATCTAGAAATCACGCCCAGAGCATCAGCAAACCGGCACAAACGCGCCAAAACCTACCTTCTCTAAAGCGACTAGCTAGGGTTTCTAAAGTGCCCAGGCACTAAAGACTGCAACGTGGGGCCATCACAGCCGTACACGTGTCCTTAAAAAGGTATATTCGCATTTCTTCTCTACAAGTATCTCCTCATGCGCTTACTTCCGGGGCCGAATCCACCATTGTTTGACTGTTGGAGCTCCTTCCAAGGATCTGGCCAGGGGAATCGAAGGATCTTAGCTATCCAGGAAACGAATGCCTACCTTGTAGAGTAAGATCGTCGGTGATCATATCCAGCTCGAGGAGATTGAGCAAGCGCCCAGGTCGACACCGCTCGTCCACTTCTCGGGCTGATCGGACCCATGCCGCAGCTTCAGTCGCCCTCGATTCATCGAGCCTCCCCAGATCAATCCCACCGGCCTGGGCTTGTCACCGTGGAGCGCAAAATCAGGCTGCCACTGTCGCCCTCCGCGTCAAAGTCCCCGCCATCGCCCACCACCAAGAGATCCGTGAACAAGCACCCGCCCCCTTCGTCTTGGTACTCCACCCCGTACGCGACCACGGTGCCCCGGGTGAGCCCGGTGCTCCTCCCAACTTTGATCGCCGCCTTGCCCACCAGGTCGTCCAAGTTGATGGTGAAGAGCTCGCCAACCTCGCCAACGAAGGGGATGGTGGCGGTCACGGAGGAGCAGTCGAAGCTGGCGGCGAAGGGAACGAAGGCTCCATCGGCCCGGACGAAACTTTCTAGCACGTAGCGGCAAATGTTAGACAAGCATTCGGCATTTGCTGGAGAGCGAGAGAGAAGGCAAGACCTGAACAGCAGGAAGCAAACATCCCGTACCAAAGATCGTCGGTGACGAACGAGGACGCCGGCTCCACGGCGCCCAGGTAGACGCCCTGCCCGAGCCTCCCAGGAGGTATCGGGTGGAACGTCTTCCGGTACGGGAAGTCAAGGTCCACGGCAACGTGTGTGTTAGTGAGGAACCATAGTGTCGCTTCCCAATGCGGCTGCGCACCACGGGCCCAATGGTTCCAAAGAGCTTTAAGCTCGCCACCTTTTCCATCGGGCATCATATGAGCAAATAACTCGGCTATGGTATCTACCTGGGATCCAGGACCGATGCGTTGGCTATTCCCTCGCAAGTAGTTGATGAGCTCCGAGTACACCCGTTCTTTTGGGGCCGGAGCCGGCGTGCCATGGAACGAGAACTCCACAACGTCGACATCACACCAAGTGAGATTCCCCGGGCCCTGAAAGAAAGATCAAGACTCGAAACGATCCCAAGTGGGGAACCCAAGAGAGAGGCCAGTGCGAGGACAACCTGCAAGATACGGGGCAGCATTTGCCCGTCGAGCACCCAGGGCATGCAGCTTGCGCGGGACGAAGACGATGATGGCGGGGCGATCGGTCACCTGGCTGTTGCGGGTGCGGAAGCCCAGCGCGGTGCCCAAACTCCGGCGGCGGAACAGCTTCCCGTGGATGGCCCGGATCGCCATGAGCTCGCGCAGCGTTCTGGCCTGGCGTCCCGTCCCCATCGTCTCGCCGCTCGCCATGTTGCTCCAGTGGTGGCTGAGTAGTAGGCGATGCGCTCCACCGCGCATTCCTCGACGTGGAAGCATGGCAGGCACAGCACGTAGTCGAATAATCCGTCCTTGCGGCCGCGGTAGCGCGATCCTGAGGCGTAGGCCCGCATTAGCGAGCGATCTGGTTTCGGGACGGGACTGCCACCAGTGTGTCGAGTCCAAAGATAGCTTAAATAGCGTGGCTAGCCTGCGTTGTTTGGGCTTCCGAGCTCTCGGCGGGTACGAAGCGCCCGCCAGAGCAACACGAAGAGAATCTTAAACCCATCTTAAACCTTCCAAAAAAACAAAAAAAAAAAAACAAACAAACAAAACAACTCGAGTAGAAAACTCCACGAGTTGCCACAGCTGATGTTCTCGCTGTGCCTTGAAAGGCTCCCCGTGAGTGTCCAGTAATGGCAGACAGCTGGTGTGTTCTCTCAGGCCAGAAACTCGTTCTGACATTATTAAGATAGAAGATTGTTCTATGTGGTCGATTGCGAGTCTTTATTGCTACTGAAGACCAACTCTTTGACCCTGCTCCTGTAAGAATATGTTCGCCTTTTATCCGTATATTTTAGCTTTATCCGTATATGGCTCGTCAAACGTGCTATATCACAATCATGTCTTGAGCACGCCTTCTGGGTCGTGGAAGTCTTTGATCCATTGGCTCCATTGGCGTCATACTCCTTTGAAATCTTCAAGAAAAACAAATACTGATCTTATTCCCACTTTCGACGCAACAATCCAGCGAGGCAGCGAATGTCGAGAAAGAATCTCTTTCCCCACGATGGGATCGGGCCAAACGTCCTCAAGCACGAATCGACTCTCAATTGGCGCGGTTTTCTTTTCGTTAGGGTTTCTGGCAACGTGTCTTCATGTGACAAAAAGGGATCTTGGGATTTTCTTCTCTCTACAAACTTATCCTCGTGCGCTTGGCGTTCTGGCGCCCCTCGGCATCGTCGCTACTTCCGGGGCCGGATCTCTTGATCTCGCCTTCCCGTTGCCATGACGAAGGCCCGGGAATGTCTCCAGGTTTCAACTCGGTGCTACAATCCTTGGACTGTTGGAACTCCTTCCAAGCATCTGGCCAGGACAAGTCAAGGAAGAAGCTAAAGCCTAAAGCGATGGGAATGGATGCATACCTTTGAGAGCAAGATCGTTGCTGATGATATCCAGCTGGAGGAGATCGAGCAAGCGGCCCAGGTCGACACCGCTCGTCCAGTTCTGGGGCTCGTGCCCCTGCCGCAGCTTGAGCCGCCCTCGATTCGACGTGCCCCCCCAGATCATTCCCACCGGCCTGGGCTTGTCGCCGTCGCACAGCAGAATCATGCTGCCGCTATCGCCCTCCGAGTCAAACTGGCCCCCATCGCCCACCACCAAGAGATCCGTGAAGAAGCACACGCCCTTGTCGTCGTGGTACTCCACCCCGTACGCGACCACTGTGCCCCGGGTGAGCCCGGAGCTCCGCCCGACTTTGATCGCCGCCTTGCCCACCAGGTTGGCGATGGGGTCGTCCAAGTTGATGGTGAAGAGCTCGCCAACCTCGCCAACGCCCTTGATGCTGGCGGTCACGGAGGAGCTGTCGAAGCTGGCGGCGAAGGGAACGAAGGCGCCATCGGCCCGGACGACAGTTTCTGGCAACGCGGTAAGCAACATGTTAGACTAGAGAAGCAAGGCATTTGCTGCAAAGAAAAGTAAAGCTTTCGGGACACCTGAGCAGCAAGTAGCAAACATCCCGTACCAAAGATCGTCGGTGACAAAGGAGGTCGCCCGCTCCACGGTCCCCAGGTAGACGCCAGGCCCCAGGTTGGGAGGCAGCGGGTGGAACATCTTCTGGTACGGGAAGTCGAGGTCCACGGCAACGTGCCTGTTGGTGAGGAACCCTATCTGGTGCTCTCCGGTGCGGCTGCGCACCACGGCCCCCATGGTTCCGTATACCTCCAAGCTCGCCACCTTTTCCATCGTATAGCGTATCATATATGGCGATAGCTATAAGCTGAGACTGTTACCTGGGATCCCGGACCGACGCATTGGTCATCCCCTCGCAGGCACTCGACGAGCTCCGAGTAGACTTGCTCCTTGGGAGCCGCGGATGAGGCGCCATGGTAGGAAAACTCCACAACGTCGACATCACACCACAGATCCCCCGGGCCCTGCGTGACGAGCGAAGAAGAAACAATCAAAACCCAAGAGGGGCCAGTTGGAGGACAAAACCTGGACGGTGCTGGGCAGCATTTGCCCGTCGAGCACCCACTGGGCATGCAGCTTGCGCGCGACGAAGACGATGATGGCGGGGCGGTCCGTCACCTGGCGGTCGCGGGTGCGGAAGCCCAGCGCGGTGCCCAGGCCCAGGCGCCGGAACATCTTGCCGTGGATGGCCCGGATCGCCATGAGCTCGCGCAGCGTTCCGGCCTGGCGCCCCGTCCCCATCGACTGCCGGCTGTCGTCGCTCGTCGCCAGGCTCGCCATGTCGCTGTACTGGCGGCTGAAGAAGCTGCTGCGCTCCACCGCCCATTCCTCGACGTGGAAGCATGGCAGGTACAGAACGTAGTCGATCGATCGGTCCTTGTAGCGCGACCCCGATGCGTATGCCCGCATGTAGCGGGCGATCTGGATCCTCGGGACGGGATGCTTGCGGCGGCTGCCAGATCCACGGTATGTCAGCGCAAAGATCTATCTATCGGATCATACCATGGGAAGAGCTCTCGCCTGCGCTGCTTAGGAAGTGGGCATCCCCGCGGCTTGGATTTGTGGCACGACAGCGCTACACAGGTATGGTGCGGCGAGTCAAACAGGCAGCTCTCGGCGGGCATGAATCGCCCGGGAGAGCATTTAAAACCCATCTCTAAACCCCCCGCTCTCCCACTCCCCTCTCCCCCTCCCCCTGGTTCTATCTCTCTCTCTCTCTCTCTGGTTCTCTCTCTCTCTTTCGCCCATCCACGCGTCAAAACTCGAGATTCCATATTTAGAAGCGTGCGCTGTCGTCAATGGATTGTTTTGGTCACAGAATATCCCTTGTCAAGGGCTTCATAGATTTAAGTAGTGTCTCGTAACAGTGTGTCCATGGCAGCGTAGACGCAATCCCTCAGGAAGCTCACGTCAGGGACGATCTTCTCCTTCGCCATGACCGCGATCCTCACGTCATTCGCGTAGCTTGTCATGTGGACCAGCAGCCCCTTTTTGTCACCCGAGGGATTCGCAAACTTTGTCAGGACTTGGTGTGTGCTTGTGTCGATGATAAGAGATCTTAAAACGTACCTGTGGAAGGCCCGAGCTCGTGGGGATGATGTAAAGGAGAGGATTTCCAGCGAACGTTACGGTCTCCACAGGGCCAACAATGTTGGAGATTGTGAGGGTGGTGTGGAGCGCGGCCCTGTATGTCATGTCTCGCCCGCCCTGCCGCGATCGAGCAATGAGCTAGCTTTGATTGACGCTCAGACAGTACCTTGATTCCGAGGAGATGGATCAACAAAACCCCTCCAGAGTACGTGAGCTTGGCCTCGTAAGAGAGCTTCTTCCGGGTGGAAATGGATTTTGCGTGGTGGACGTGCTCGAGTGACGGGTGTGTAGGTGCGTTGACCTTATTGACCGAGAGGGGAACGAGCATGTAACCCAGGCTATTGCCCCATCTTGCCTTCGACCTGGTGTTCATCATCTCGTTTACTTCCTACACAAAGTCAGTCAAACATTCGCAAAGTCATGGTTGAAGGACTTTGACTAATGGTTTGACTGACTTGCAAACCTGGGGAAGGTCTGGTGTTGACCATCACTAGCGCCCGGATCGAGAGGCTCTTCAACCATTTTGCTGTGGAAACCATGTCAGAGAGAGAGATGGTTGAATGATGGTTGGGAACTCTTAAACTTACAGTGATTGCCATTGTCATTGCCAGTTTGAGCGTGATGCGTGAGATACTTCTGGAGAGCAATCGAGACAATCGCGAGTAGCACATCGTTCACCGTCTGGGATGGGTAGAAGTGGAGTGAAATTCTTGTTCTCTGTTACGTGAAAACGCCCAAGAAACTTACCGCATTGGCGGCATTCTTGACGCGCTTGACATCGTCGAGCTTGAGGTCGGCGATGGCGAGCCGACTTGGCTCGTTCTCGGCTCCACGATAGCCTCGCAGGCATGAACGGCTGTCCTTGACCCACGCCTGCATGCACAGAAACTTGACAATCTCCGTGATAGAGAACCATGCCACGAGCACGAGCCTCCATATCCGCGGCACGAGAGACCTCCAAATCCACGCCAGTGGATCAAGATCATTCTCTGGCGCCGGCGCTGGCCTGGGAATCGTGGGCAGCATCGCGGGATTTTCCAGCTGCCGTGTAGATGCCAGGAAGAGCGACATGAGCGAAGTTCCATCGCCGAGCGCGTGATGGAAGACGAGGATACAAACACCTCTCGCGCCACCACGAAGAGAGATTTGTGGGCGATCATCATCCATCGCCAGGACGTGGACCTCCCACAGAGGCTTGCTGGCATCCAGGCGAGCGGCGCTGAGCTCGGCGGTGTAGTCCTCCACGATCGTGGGCGAATCCCGCGGGAAGCGCGAGAGATCCGCTACGATGATGTGATCGTCGATGTTTACGTGGGTTCTCACCCAGATCTCCCTCCCTCTACCGTTTAGCCTCTACAGTGTTTACGATCGATCGATCGATTCGAATAGAAATGGAATACGAACCATGAGGCTGGAGAATCGTGGGTGTTTTGCCAGTGTGTTGGAGAGCTCGCTCTTGAGCGCCGGGAGATCGATTGGGTTCTGGAATCCAAGAATGCACTGGGCCGTCAAGTAGAAATCCGGCTGGAGGAACAATCGCCCCGCCGGTGTCACCGGCTCCTCCACTCCATCTCCAATCCGCGGGAGAGAGTTTTCATTCTCATTCCCATCGCTAGATCTTTGCTGAGAGGTTTTGATTCGCCGAAGCACTCCCATTTTTTTCTGGGCGAGAAAGCAGAGCTTCGATGTTATATAGTTCCGCACGACAACTCGTGATGATACTCGAGCCCGAGACCTACTTCATTGTTCTAGGGCTCGCTGTGAATGGCGCTGTGAATGCCGCTGCCATGGCGTCCCCAGCGATGATCGAGTCGGCATTCTTGTCTCGGAGCTGCGCAATCCTGCTCGCGCGCAGGATCGGCGTGGGGAAGCGATCTAGGGTTGCAAATCTGCGGAGGAAGTCCGCGAGCTTCGTTTCCGCCCGATGCTGTGCCAGTGCGAGTGCTGGCCCGGATGTGTCGCCTTCTCCTGCTACAACAAGCAGATCCAAGGTTTGCGCGAACAATCAATCGCTCGTGGTTTTCCTGATTCTAGGATTTGTTCCTTCTTTCTTTCACTGTAGAACACACTGGGCCCAAAATTTAGTTTTTGCCCAGTTTGTGGAGGTCCTGCCGATCAAAGAGTTCCAGACGGGGAGCACGAGCCTAGAAGCGTTTGCACCTTGTGTGGATTTGTACACTATCAGAATCCAAAGATGGTGAGAGCTGGAAAACAAGTCTTTCATTCATTCCAGAGACGAAAGCATCACTTTCTTTTACCAGGTTGTAGGATGCGTTGTAGAACACGATCGGAAGATTCTTCTCTGCCGGAGAAGCATTGAGCCGTGCTACGGTCTCTGGTAAGATCAAAGCTCCATTTCCTTTTGTCGATTGAAGAAGGTGATTTTCTGCCTCAGGACTTTACCAGCGGGATACATGGAACTTGGAGAATCGGCTGCCGAGGGTGCGGTGCGCGAAACGCAGGAAGAAGCTCACGCGCAGGTGGAGCCAGTTTCGCTGTTTGCTCATCTCGACATTCCGCTCATTGGCCAGGTTCTCGTTCTCTCCTCGTTCCTTGGGTTTTCGTTTATCTCTGGTGTTTCTCATTCTTAAGATGCGTGTGCAGTGCAGAGCTATGTAATTTTTCGTGCCAAGTTCGCGCACGGCGTGCAGTACTCACCGGGCCCCGAGTCCTTGGAATGCGCTCTCATCGAAATGGATGAGATTCCGTTTGATAAGATTGCCTTCTCAACCATAAGCGTGGCTCTCAAGCTGGTAAGCTCTCGGAAAGTTTCCGTTCTCGCTTTCTTGGTTATTTGGTTTACGTATCCCTTGGCATCAGTACATCCAGGATTACAAAGCAGGACGGTTTAGAGTTCACTCAGGGGTGATCGATAAGAGGCCCGGTGCCAGTCCATCCGATCCTCAAGGCTTCGTTCTCCGAGACTACCTTTCATCGTAAACTCCCGGAGAGTTTTGTTTCAAAAACAGCAGGAAAAATTACCAAGGCCATTTGATCTCTTTGTTTTGTTTATTCTCTTGGATTATCACTCGTTATTCCACTCTTCCTAGGAAGAACAAAAGTTCTTGGGGTTATTTGGTTTTTATATGATAGATTTAAATATTTCTTCCTTTTGCCTTATTTGTTTAAATTTTGCAAAACCCGAAAACCTTTTGGGTTAAACTCTGCCGCGTGGCATTTTGGACGGTGTAGATTAAGGGCCATGTCCATCTTCCCTTTAAATTGGCATTAAATCCTTTGACTCAAATCAGGGTAAAGGATGATGGTGAGCACTTTTGTGGAGATGCACGGCGGTATGCCCGTCATCAAGGAGCTGATAGTTGACAATGACGAGCTTATGGAGGCTTTGGCCGAAGCTGGCGAGGCAAGCAGGAAAAGAGAGCGCAAGGAGGAAGACAAAGATGGGCAACCCCTCAAGAAGGTAAGGAGAGATGACGTCCGAGAGGAACCCTGCAAGGATCAAGGGCAAACGATGGCGAGTACTTTTGTGGAGATGCACGGCGGTATGCCCGTCATCAAGGAGCTGCTAGTTGACAACGACGAGCTCATGGAGGCTTTGGCCGAAGCTGGCAAGGGAAGTAAGAAAAGGCAGCGCGAGGAGGACTGCAAAGATGGCCAACCCCTCAAAATGGTAAAGAGAGATGATGCCCGAGAGGAACCCTGCAAGGATCAAGGCAAGTCGAGGGGTCCCATAATCGTGAGGATCAAGCTGCACAAGAAGGGAGATGCAGTCGTCAAAGAACCCTGCAATGATCACTGCAAAGATCAAGTCGCGAGGATCGAGCTCCACAAAGAAAACAAGGAAAGCAGTAGCGCTGTTGCAGAGGAGACATTGAAACCCAACGAGGGCAAGAAGAGGAGTGAGACAGAGCTGCCAATCGCTAGGAGCGCGACAAAGACAGTGGGAAGGGCGATCAAGCCTTGCAACACGGCAAGAAAGGCGTCACAGCAGCGGAGGAGTCATAAGGAGCTTGAGACTAGCGCTAGCATGAAAATCGAGTGTGCGCCAGTGAAGAAGGTGCTCAGTGCTAGGTGCTTGAACGTGCCATTGGGTGATGCTGCGAAGAGACGAGATGCCCCCGTTCACTATCTCGATTTTGGTGCTGGCAACGGCTGCGCTGCTCGTTCCACAGCTCCAAAGATCAAGTGGAACCCCATGCGCTCCTCCACTCGCGCATGATTTGCAACAACTTCGTTAATGTTAGAAAACAAGATTAAGATAGGAACTGAAGTTTTTTTAGTAGAACAAATTTGTCTTGATTAATTTGTGCAAATCAAAGAATATAGTGTTTTTTTTCTCCCATGATAATATTACCCGGACGCTGCAAAGAACACCGACGACATAAAGCTAGCCTCTTCAAACAAAGACCGAGTGTGTTAGTGCCGCAGGCTGGCTGAAGAAAAACTTCCAAAACAAAAGCTAAAACCATCACTCCTTCTCTATGTATACTCTTTCTCAACCCAGCCATTCTCCCTCTTTTATCATCCCAGTCCCGGAGTACCAAGCCACACAATGAAAGGAAAAAAAATAATAAATAAATATAGCGTCCCCCCCTCAGTACCAATGAAAAACAAAAAAAGAAAAAAGAAAAACGAGGAAAACCAAAAGACAAAAGAAGAAAAGAAAAGAGTAAAAAGCTTTGCTCTCTTACGTTACCTCCATGGAACGCTGGATGGAACGCTGCTAGAAGTGTCACTGTGATCCTCTTTTCTAAGCCGCCGGAGGAAAGAGCTAGCTACTGTGATCAGCCGTGGAAGGATATGGCCTAAAGCGAGCGTCTGGATTCCCTCCTCTCTGGGATTGTCTACTGCTCGCTCCATAGTTCGCACCATAGCCTCCTCCATTCCCTGTCCCATCACCTGTTGCTCCACTGTTTCCCATCCCTCCGCCATAATTCGATCCAACACCGCTACCACCGCCGCCACCACCGCCACCACTTCCACCACCACCGCCGCCACTCCCGCCACCGCCGCTATATCCATCTACACTCCCAGCTCTCCAGGTGTTGTCCGGATAACCAGAGTACGCATCTGCATAACTCGAGCCATAGCTACCTGCATTACCACCACCGCCACCACCGTATCCTCCGCTGTTATTCCCATATCCTCGCCCACCATAGCCAGCGGCAGCACTGCCATACCCCGCGTCGCTACTATAACCATAGCCGCTCCCGCTATACCCCGGACTCGTCGCAGCATTCCCCTGTCCGCCACCTCCAGAGCCACCCCATCCAGCGTTCCCATATCCGCTCATATTACTCCCACTGCCTCCATATCCACCGGAACCAGCAGCTCCACCATATCCCGGAGCACCGCCACCACCCCAAGCGTTCCGTCCACCTCCATACCCGGGGCTGCCACCTCCGGCTCCGCCATACCCCGGACCGCCACCTCCGTATCCCCCGCCACCTCCGCTAGCGTAGCCACCGTATCCTCCCCCAGCAGCAGCAGCAGCAGCAGCAGCACTGGCACCATATCCTCCACCGTAGCCATATCCAGCAGCGCTTGCGCCGTAGCCTGTTCCTACAGCTCCATACCCGCCAGCGCCACCGTAACCAGCAGCTCCATAGCCAGCAGCACCGCCGTAGGAAGGATAGCCACCCCGGATCCCTGGAGTCGGACTGTACCGGCTGGCAGCGGCGTAGGCACCGGCAGCTCCACCACCTGGACTGCTCGGGTAGCCGGGGCCGTAGGCGCTGTATCCTCCGGGCCTGGGAACTCCCGAGTAGCCGGCTCCTCCGGGACTCCTGGCCGGCCCGGCCGAGAGCTCCTTGGGCACCGCCCGCTTCACCTCCACCATCTTCTCCTTGAGCTCGTGGAAGGTCTTGTGCAGGACGTTGTCCACGGCTTCCTCGGTGTCGAAGGTGATGAATCCAAAGCCGCGGGGGCGCTGCGTCGCGTGGTCGTACATGACGACGACATCTGTAATAGTACCAAACTGCTCAAAATACTTTCGGAAGTCATCCTCAGTTACATTAGAGCCTAAACCACCCACAAAAATCTTTTTGGTTTTAGACGAGGCATGGCCGCCCGGCCCAGCCACGGCACTCCCGTTGGCCTTTACTACACTGTGCTGCTCATCCCTGGGCACGGCCTTTTTCGCTTCCACCTATGTAGAGTTAAAAAAGAAAACAAGCTAGCACTAGTTATAAACCAGCTAAAGACCACACACACTCTCACTCTCTTCAAACACATCACACACACAAGCAAGCCAAGCAAAGAGAGGAAAAAGTATGGAACAAAACACTCTATAGCGCTACTATCACGTAGAGAAATCTAGCGAGCTATGGAGGGAGGGGGGACGTACCACTCTTCCATCGATCGTGTGCTTGTCCAGCAGCACCCGGTCGGCGCAATTGGGATCCGAGAACACCACGAATCCAAACCCGCGGGCGCGCCCAGTGGTCCGGTCCCTCATAATCACCGTCTCCACGACCTCGCCATAGGCCTGGAAGTAATCCTTGAGCTTCTCCTCGGTCGTCTCCCACGAGATCCCGCCAATGAAAAGCTTCCCCTGATCTGTTTCCATGGTCTACAGCAATGCGCGCCCCCGGATCTGAATGCCTGGCCGCCGCGCTTAGATCCGCGGCTGGAGCTCCATCCCCGCGCCCCCGGCGCTGCAATGCGCTGCTAGATCTGGCCTGGAACCGGGAATGCGCCAATTCAGATCCCTGGCAAAGCCGGCGCCTCGGCTGGAAGGCGCCTGCTCTGCGATTATCCCAATCGTCGCCGCCAAAGAGAGAGGGGAAGAAGAAAAGAGAGATTCTCCGAGAGAGTGTGAGTGTGAGTGTGTGTCGTGGTGAAACCCTACAGATCTCCTCGCTCTGGATTAGGGTTAGGTCAACCGGTACGGCACGCGATGACAAGTTAACGGCTAGGATTGCACTCCCGCGATTCCCACGTGGTCGTACCAAGTGTCGGGATAAAAGAAAGGTGGCCGTACGTAGTGTCTGGATAAAAAAGTTAATGATGGAGATGAGGGGCATCGATCCCCTTACCTATCGCATGCGAAGCGATCGCTCTACCATCTGAGCTACATCCCCAATCGTTGGACGCTAACCATGTGCTCGCCTAAAACATGAGACTATAACCTAATTTATTATTCTAAGAATATTCGATGTTTAAATTTCCTAGAGCCTCTCAAAACTCTTTTGCCAGAGAGTTTATTTCATGGACACACTCGCAGCACTGGGAAATCTCTACCCGAAAACGCGGACCAAGTTCTCCACAAACTGGTAGCTCCGCTCCTCCTCTCCACCTCGCCTGGGCTGGCGCTCGCGCCGGGGGAAGATGTAAGCCTCCTCGGCGCGACGATCCTCGAGCTTCTGCTGGAGCTGCTCGTCGATCTGGAGCGCGCTGGACATGACGCTGCGCGGGACTCCCTTGTACACCGAGTTCCTGCCCGCGAGATACGATTCTATCGGCCTGGGAAGAACCAAGACATGATCAAACAAAAAATCCAAAGCAAACGATCCAGGAACTTACAAGTGGGTCTTGTAGATCACCGCGAAATCGAGACCTTCATTTCCGGCCAGCTTTGCGGAGGGATAGTTCGCCGGGACAACGAGAAGAGAGCCCTCGTCCATGTCCGCCTCCACGGCCTGCTCGCCATTCTCGCGCACAACTTCAATCCTCCCGCGTCCCTCGTTGACGTAGATAACTTTGTGTGCGTTGTGTGCCCACGCTGGAGCGGTCAGAGCACCCTGGAAGCCAAGAATCCATCAAAAAAATCACTTTTTTCCCGATCGATCTTACCGATTTGAGCTGGTAGCATGCAGCCGAGAGTCCGAGCTCCTTGAGAATCGGCATCTTCATGCTGTTAAGCTGGCGCAACTCTCCACCGCGCGGAACGTAGACATCGGGCTGCGAATCACCCAGGCGGTAGACGAAGTCCATGTAGATTCCGCTGTTGGTCACCGACGGCAGGCTCCTTCGCTGCTGCTCGTCCACTTTGATGATCTGTGAGCCCTTCTGGCCCTCGCGAAGTCGCTGCACGATCGACTCGTCCACGCCCCACGCCTGAGCCAGGATCTCCTTGCTGAAACCGTGGAGCAGGGAGTTTCCGGTGGACTCGTCCTGTGATTCTCGGCGCCGGCGTGGAGATCTCTCAGACTCTTGCTCGTCACTTCCCGCGAGATGGAAGACCTGCGCAAACAAAGCTGATTGTTTCAGATGAGAACGAATGGGAGAGTGATCTTTGCGGACCTTGAATCGTCCACACTCGCAGCTAGTGGTGGTGTCAGCGACGTCGAGGAATCGAGCGCGCTGGTTTCCATCGTTGAAGAGCCACGCCGCGAATCCTCGCGGGATCGCCATGGTATCTCCTTTCTTGAGCTCAAACACGCTCTTCTCAGTCACCTTATCTGTGAAGGGACTCACGATTCCAGCCCGGAGCCTCCCTGGAGCAACAACATCAACGCAAACACCGTGAGAAACAATCCAAGATCGAGAATGTGGGTGGCGAGCGATCATACCTTCCATGACCGTGAGAAGGACATGCGAGTCCTTGTAGCCCGGAAGAACAAGACCATTCGGCTCCACGGTGACGCGCTTCACTCCAAACTCGGCGTCGCACAGCGCGCGGTAGTCACCGGCGTCATACTCCTCGATCCTGCCACCCTCGGAGCGGAAGATCTCGCGGGGCTTGCGCGGCTTCAAGTCCCGGAACGCCTGGCGCTGCTGGCGCCGATCGCTCGACTCTCGATCGTGGTGCTGGCGATCACCCTCGCGACGAGCGTGAACATCCAGAGCCAGCACCGCGAGAGCCAGCGCGAGAACAAAGAGCTTCTTTCCCATCTCTAGCAGCTCGAAAAGAGGAAAAAGCGATGGTGGATGGAAGAAACCATAGCCGGGGACGAAGCTTATATACTCGCTGGCCAAGCTTGTGCATGGCATCCATTTGGCGTCGCGTATCCTGCCACTATACTTGCCATTTGGGGGCACCTTCCAAATCATCTCCAGTGTGGAGCTGGAACTTCACCATAGCTCAAAGCACCCGTTTAGAAGATCAAATGGAAACGAGTGTGATACCTTTGATTCTTTACGTGTACAAACAAAGCTCGCGGCCTCTTCGCTCTCTCGCTCCGCGCTTGCGTTACGAGATAGCATGGCCGAATCCGAGCTCCACCGCGTGAGTGGCATCCAAACCACACCCCATGCCTTCGTACCACTTATCATTCTCTGCGCAGTAGCTGCTCAAGCCTCCATCTTCGCTGGGCTGCCGGAGGAGCGTCTCGCAGTTCTTGCAGTAGCCCGTCTCGAGCAGGACGTCCGCCTTGCAGCAGCACCTCGTGCAAGAGAGCGTCGGGGCTTTCTCCGCGGCCTTCTTTGCTGGCCGTCGTCTCGAAGATGGCTTCGCCATTGCGTCGTCCTTGGTGTCGGCCTCCCTGCTCATCTCGTCCTCCCGGGACCAGTGCTCCACCAGGCTCATGTCGTCGGCCAGGCTTTGCTGCTGAGCACCAACACCCGCCGCAACGATCGCTCCCGCCGCCTTGTCGATGCTTCGGAGCCTCAGCACCGCCGACGATACGTCCTGGCAAACGCTGTTGAGAACGTCCACGCTCGTGTTCCCCAGCCTTTGTTCCAGGCTCCCAAGTTCCATCTGGAGCTCCTGTATCTGCCGGAGTAGAACCTGGCGCGCTTCATCCTCTTCCTTCTCAGCCGCAAGCTCCTCGGAGATGCTGTTCGGGTCGACAAACCGGTGAATTACCCTCGCGCTGCCTTCGTGCGGACCCGGCTCATGGCCGGAGTGAACCGCATAGAGCTTGAACGTTGCGACGCCTTCTTCCTGGTACGCAAACGTTTTCTCCTTCTCGTCGTAGTTCGTGATGGGAACTATCGCCCGGATCCGGAAGCTGCATCCACACCGCTTGGACATGTACCGCTTCCTCTTGAGCACACCGGGCTTCCTCCCAGTCGGCTCTCCACCCCTGTGGCAGCAGTAGTCTTTCACCTCGGCTAGAAACGGCTTGTATCTGATATACTTCTGCCGGATGCACAACACCACCTTGTACTTGGCCGCGAGATGCTGCAACCGCTGAGGGACGTCTCGAGCCACCACCTCGAACGACTCCGTGTACTCGAATCTCTTCCTCCTGGATTGCTGGAGAGCGGCACTAGCAGCAGCAGCGGCAGTATCAGTAGTAGCAGCAGTAGAAGTTCCGCCACCACCATTACCACCATCACCACCAACACCAGTAGGAGCATGACTAGCGACGCTACCACTGCCAGCACCAGCAGCATCACCGCTTCCTCCAATGCTCTTGATGCTCTTCCCACCGCCGAGGGACGAGCGCTCGCTAGAGCTCCCACAAACCGGGCACGTCGAGATACATACCTTGACATACGACTCTGGAACTCCATAAACCTTGGCACCGACAGTCCACACGTCTCGCATCCTCTCCAGCGTCTCCTTGCAGCCGAGGTGCTTGAGATCCGGGCGAATGTGGAACTGCTGGACGATCCCACCCCATTGCTCGATGAATGGCACGAACTGATAAGGATTGCTCTTGAAGAACAGCACCTCGTTGCCGAGATCGTCAACTTGGGCCTGGAGCTTGTCCTGGATCCTCCTCCAGCCCGTGAGATAGGCCGTGTCTTCGTGACGATCCTTCCACACGCCGCGCCAGGAAGCTAGAACCGGCGGCGTCGCCACGCCCCGGATCTCGTCCGGCGATGGATGCCGCCCGGCCATGAGGCAGCGCACCATGAGCCTGTGAGACGCGCGATTGAATGTGTAGAACTGGCTCGACATGTGAGGCTCTGGATCCACGGGCATCATCATCACGGAGGAAGCTCGCGACGAGGATGGATTGGCGGCGGCGGATTGAGGATTGGAGAGATTTGGCGGCGGGACGATGGCGATTGCCGAGCTGCTGGCCGCGGCTATGCATTCCGCCCCGGCGTAGAGCTCTTCCTGGTCGGGATCGGTCATGGCCGCGTCCTCGCTCAGCACAGACATATTTTCGCTGCTTGGCGAGATCGCTAGAACCTGACAATCATCTGGATTGGTGTCGCGTCCCGTCGGGCCGCCGGATCGAGCGGAAGAGATCCCTCCTCCATCGCCATAGCCGGCTACCTCTGCCCTACTCTCTATATACCCTAATCATTGTTTCGCCAAGAACCCTATTCTCGGATGGGAGGAGGACACCATCACGCCGCCCAGGTCCCCGCGAGCTTGGGCAGGGATCTACGCGCTTGTCTTCGATGCCGCCTTGTCAAAACCTACGATCAGGTGAGCTCACGCCGTGGTTCTTAGAGCGATCGATTGATTTTCATTCCCGATTCTTCGCAGTTTAACAAGAATGGCTGCGAGAATTGTAAGTTCTTTCACATGGAACAGGAACACGATCGAATTCTAGAGTGCACTACTGTGAATTTTTCCGGGTAAGATCAAGCTCTCTCTCTCTCTCTCTCCAACTTAACTCCTCTCTCGCGATTGACAACTCGTGAACTCCATCGATCACCCATCTCTCTCTCTTGACAACTTATGGATTGTGGATTGACAACTCGTGAACTCTATCGATCACCCATCTCTCTCTCTCTCTCGATTGACAACTCGTGAACTCTATCAATTACCCATCTCTCTCTCTCTCTCTCTCGATTGACAACTCGTGAACTCTATTGGTCACCCATTTCTCTCTCTCTCTCTCTCTCTCTCTCTCTCTCTGAGAACACTAACATTTTTTGGTAGGCTTATATCCTCGATGGATCCAACTGGGAGCTGGGCAGCTCGATGGTTGAGAATAAGTGAGTGGATTTTTTTTTTTGTTCTTCCTGTTTTAACTCGAAGTGCTTGACTCGAGCAGGCAAATTCGTTCCTGGCTGCTACGCCCTGGCTGTCTCGGGCGTTCTCAACGAAGATATGCAGGTCAGTCTCACTTGTTCGTCTTTCATTTCTCGGTGATTTCGAGATCTCTTTGTTTCTGGCATGATTCTTGTAAAACTTTTGTTCGTCCATGCGCTAAGCTACTTCTGGTCATTGCCGTGCAGAACATCTGCGAAGACAATAACATCAAGTACGTTCCTCGGTGAGCAGCCGATGATCGCAAGCACAGGAAAAAAAAAAATTAGAAGATCACAGATTCAGAGGAGAAAACAGTGAGAAAAATGTGAATTTTGTCTTTCTCCGCTACTTATTACGCTACTTGATAATGAGATAAGTAGCCTCGCCTTTTACAAGAAAGGACGTAGAATCGACACGAGTTTTGGCCGAGGCACTAGGTAGAGCAGCCATAGCTCGCTGGTGTTTGTTGACCGGATCAATCGCTTGGCTCTCCAGTGCATGACTTGGGCTCTTAGATTTGGCGAGGAGGGAGCGACCCAAGTCGCCAAAATCGCGGCTTAGGCACGGCTTATGGCCCTAGCGGCATCGTCGTCCTCCTCGTCCGGATTCCTGCGCCTCGCCGACGCCCGGAGGAAGAATTTGCCGCTCCGCCCGCAGCGCAATCTCCCCCAGCTCCGGACGATGAGCGCCAGGGCCTGCTCGTCCCCGAATTCGTCGTCGGGCACCTCCGCCGGTGGCGATCTGGTGACGAGCGGCAAGAAAGTGGTGCCGTATGCCAACTATGCCGTGCCCATCGACAATTCCAGCGCCTCCTCCTTCATCACCCGCCCCCTGGCCGAGATCCTGCGCGACATGAACAAGAGGGTGCCGGACAAGGTGATCAAGATCAAGGTGGACGAAGATGGCAACGAGCTCAAGTACATTCCTTGGTATGTTGAGCTCTTTGCTCTCCTGGTGTTCTTGTGCTTGGAATTTGTCTTTGTTTTCTCGGTTTCGAAGACTTTTCTTGTCGTAAAAAACATGTTTTTGGTTGTACTGCTCATCGATCTGATGGTTTTGTAGGTTCCATGCCAACAGGATGCTGAGCTTCTACGCTCCAGGTACGAATTCTCCTTCTCAAGCAAGAAAAGTAACGAGAAAAAGGATTGTTTTTCTCGCAGGCTGGAGCGGAGAAGTTCGCAACTTGACATTCTCGCCGGACAGCAAGACCGTCTCAGTCGTGTACCGAGTGACGATCCGAGGCTCCGATGGCGAGGTAAGCAAAAATTCCTCTTTTTTCTAGGCGAGAGCTCTGGAGATCTGTTCTTCCAGATCTCTCGCGAGGCCTCGGGCACCGCTTACATGCACGATGTGGAGTTTGGCGATCCCGTCCAGAAGGCCGAGGGCATGGCGTTCCGGAGAGCCTGCGCGAGATTCGGGCTGGGCCTCTACTTGTACCACGAAGACGATGCGCAGTGAGTGAGAGACAAGCAAAGCTCTTATAGCTAAGATTTTGCAGTGTTTGAGAGACCTCGCTACGAGAGAAACGACGACTAAGAAATACTCCTTGTAAAGTTGGAGGTGTCTGTTCCATTTTTTCTATCTTTCCTGCTGGTCACACTTTATTTGAAAAATCATGTAGCACGATTTCGTCGTGAAAACGGAGGCTGTTGCCAAAAGTTCCGTTGCCGGGAATTGAACCCGGGTCTCTCGGGTGAGAGCCGAGTATCCTGACCGACTAGACTACAACGGATTACATTATCTTACCATTGACAATCACTGTTTTAAATGATTTTCTAAGAAGACAATGAATGCCATCTTTATCACTCATGTGTTCCATAGTGTCCTGCACTGTGCAAATGCATAAAATTGCCCACCCCAACTACCCCCCTATGATAGAGAATCTACCAGAATATGCTTACAGCCTGATTTCCACCTTTATTAAAAGAATCAATTATTTCACAAAAGACACAGCTGGCGCACATTGATTGGGGAGGCATCGTCCAGGCCCCCATCAAACAGCCGCTTGCCCAGCACAACATTTGCAGCATCTGTGGGGTGGTACGGATCCCAGAACACGTATTTCGTACGGTCGGGGCAGTACTTGACCAGCCCACCTGGCAGGCATGGGACTTGACCGTTGAATGGCCCGGCTCCACAGCATCCTCGGTTCCCATAGTCAAAGCCTATGCGTTGGATGGATGGATCGATTAGAACACGCAAAGGATAGAGGAAAGCATCCAGTCAGAGGGATTACCAAACTTGGATGGGTGGTCGATGACGTCTCGAAAGATGTTGTACACGTTTCCATAGACGATGGTGGCTCCGGGGAGTTGGGAGTTGAGCTCCACCAGCATGGGCTTGAGCGCGTCGTTGAAATCCCTCACGATGGCTTCCACGGGCTCGATGCATCCCCCGGTGGTGGAGTTGTAGAGGAAGAGCGACGATGGGATGCAACCCAGGGGACCAACGTTGGCCACCACGATCTTGCGAGCGCCAAGTCGATAGATCTCCTGGAAGAAACCGCGATAAAATCCAGAGCTCTTTCGAGCTCTGGGCGATTCAATCTTCCAGACTTACTTACCTGGAGCTGCTTGGAGAAGATCGAGAGGAGCGTGTCTCGAAACGTGGATGTAGGAAGATTGTGGCTCCGGGTGTAGGGGAGGAAGTAATTGTTGATGTAATCGTTGCTGCCCATGATGATCGCGACGAGCGAGCGGGAGATGAGGCTGGATGCGGCGGACGGACCCAGCATGGAGCTGATCTCTCCGATGCTGTTGCCGAACCACTGGATTTGCTTCCAGAACGTGATCCTTTCAGCCTGATCGAATCGACCGAAAGAAAACGATGTCACAAACAATGGCATTCCAATATCTCGACGATTACTCACATAGTTTCCCCCGGTTTCATCCTCAATCCCCGCTGCTCCCGACGCATAGCTCACGCCCTGGAGGATCTTGCTCCCTTTCGCGGATGGATCCAGATATGGTGGCACCAGAGGCAATCCAATGAGCTCCCCTGTGACAATTACATCCAAGATCAAGGACAAGAAATCCACAGAGTCTCTGTTACCGACGACGTCCACCACTGTCCTCCCGTTGGAGAATCTCCCAGTCGCTCCCAGCGGGAAATCAATCCCATTCGGCGCCGTGTCGCCCCTGGCCACCGCGGCCAGGTGATTGTTGTTGCCCACGTCCACCAGCGAATCCCCAAAGATGAATGCCGCAGGGACGAGGGGCTGCGATTGCTGCGCGGCGCAGCAGCAGAGCATGATCGTCGCGACGACGAACAGCAGCGCTAATACCAGCGCCATGTTGAATCGCCTCGCGACTGCTGATCGCTCTCAAGAAGCCCATGGAAGGAGAAGAAGAAGAGATCTTTAATCCATCTCTTTCCAAGCGCAGGCGATCACGCGCTCGTCATAAAACTATGGTACTCACAAGAAAGCCGACAGAGCATTGAAACTACCAGTCGGAATTATTCCTGGAATAATTCTGGGTCGAATTTACGCTAGCCCTAAAACCTAAAGTGCAGGTCAAAGCCAAATAAAGTCAACATGGAGTCGTTTTGTTCTATTATGTTTTTAGTTTACTTGCTGGCCGTACACCTGGTAACCAGTAGTATAGACAAGCGCCGGATCTTGCGGATAGAGGTAAGCGTACGGAGCCTGGCTATGGTTGTAGGGGTAGAACGCGTTCCATTGAGAATCAAACGGCGGCTGGTACCACGGCAGTGCAGACGACGAGAGCCTCTGGAAGAAAAAACTTGTCTTGATGAACAAGAGAGCAAGGGAGCGAATTTGCTACACAAATTACCTGCTTGTTCGCGGGGTGACGCCCCCAAGACAATCGGACAGTTTGCTGGCCTATGACGGAGCCATGGACTTGCTTCAATGCTTCTTCAGCACTGGCCCTGAGAGAGATCGAGTAGAGCATTAGAACAGAAACTTCGCTCGGGCATGAGTACCTCGTCATGAACTGTACAAAGCCGCAGCCTCTACCCGGGGGGATCTTGGTGTACTTGATCTCACCATACGGGGAGAAGACGTCTTTCAAGTCGTCCAACGAGACATTCTGGTCTAAGCCGCCTACAAAAATCTGCAAAGCGCACAAAGAGTGCTGAAACGTGAAAGGAAGGAAACACAAAGACTCACGGTCGTGTTTGTAAAGTCGTCCTCACCTGCCGGAGCGGGCATTGCGTAGGCAGGGACCAGCTGATACGAAACTGCGACAAGTCTCAACACACGCGATTACTTCACGAATCAATGCGATGCAAAGCCAGCAGCCAGAATGCACAGAGAGAGCAAACCTATGATGAGTAAAAGGTTCCTTGCTCAAAGTTTCATCAGAGGTTGCTCGAGTAGATTACTTCCCAGAGTCTGCTCAGAGTTCTCTCTTTTGGTGGTTCCTTTGAGTCATAGGGTCCGCCTTTAAAACCAATCAGCCTTATAAGCTTTTCCTTTCCTGCCCATGAAATCACAAGTTTCCAGAAACATGCAGCTAGAGAACAAAGAAACATCCACGAACAAAGGATAAAGGACGAAAGAAAAGGGAAGAACACATACCTCTTTGTACAGGGTGCTGTTGAGTTTGCTTTTTCGGCGTAGCAGTACGTATTCTCATCGGCCGGGAAGAGCAGTAGACTCCATGCATCTCCGTCATTGCCGAGCTCTTCTCGGCCTCGTCTCCAAACCTCACAAATCCATAGCCTCGGCACCTCCCGGAGTTGACATCCATGACAACTTTGGCGCTCTTCACCGAAGGATACCGGCTCTTGAAAGTCTCGAGCAGCATCGCGTCGGTCACGTCCGCCGCAAGGTCCCCCACAAAGATGGAGTCATCGGCTCCAGAGTCGCGCTTGTCACCTCCGACGCAAGCCCAATTCAGCCGAAACGCTTGCTCGGTGCGCGGCATCACGGCCCCGGTGAAACTCTGGAGCGCTTTCTCGGCGGCAGCGTGTGATTCAAACTCCACGAATCCATAGCCTTCGTGGTGGCCGGTTATCTTGTTTCTAATCACCTTGGTGGACACCTGAGAGGCAAAAAAGGGAAGATCTTCCACCGCTTTGCTCCAGAAAAAATCGGAAAGAACTTACGATCGTGGATTGCGGGAAGCAGCTCTTGAGATAGCTCTCGTCCATCCAGTACTGCAAATCGCCGATCCAAAGGCTGCGAACATCGTCCCGAGCTTGCGCTTGCGTCGCGCCCGGCTGCTGCTCCATGCCGCAAATAAACTTCCAACCCTAATCGTGGACGGTCAAGATATGATGCCCGGACACGTGGCGGGCGGAAAAGGCCGTTGGATGAAGCACCATAGACGTGGCACAGATCCGGGCGTCGATTGATTCCTCTGCCCTAATTCCTTGAGTGCCCCAGCCGCCTTGTTGCTGTGCGCGCTCCAAGCTCGATCGAGGTATGTATGATCTTTGGCCCCCTTGCGCGCCGGAATCTCACAGAGAATCGCTGCTTAGAAATGTCGGATGATGAGAGTAAGGAGGAGAAGGAGCTCGATTTATCGTCGGCGGATGTAGTGACCAAGTATAAGCTCGCCGCAGAGATTGTCAACAGTAAGAGCGTTAATTCTTTCCCGTTGTTCTTCCGGTGCTAAAATTTTTGTTCCAGAGGCTTTGCAAGCTGTATTGGCGGAGTGTAAGGCAGGGACCAAAGTCGTAGAGCTTTGTGATAGAGGTGACTCTTACATAAAAACGTAAGTGTTTTTTCTTCATTGAGACGGGGAAGGAGAACTTAGAACTTTGGTGTTTTGTTTCACAGCCAAACGGCCAGCGTCTACAAGAATGCAAAGAAGAAGATCGACAAGGGCGTCGCCTTCCCGACTTGCGTCTCGCTAAACAACACAGTATGCCATTTCTCTCCCTTGGCTGGCGATGAGACGGCTCTGTCCGAGGGTGACATTGTAAAGATGTAAGCTATGGTTATGTGCTGGTTTAAGTTGTGGTTCTCATCAAAGCTTTTTCGCAGTGACCTCGGCTGCCATATCGACGGCTTTGTGGCTGTAGTCGCTCACACGCACGTCCTCCAGGAGGGTCCAGTGACTGGAAGAGCAGCGGATGTTTTAGCAGCTGCCAACACTGCGGCAGAAGTTGCTCTCAGGCTCGTGAGGCCTGGAAAGAAGGTGTCTTTACCAGTCTGAGTATAGGTGGTCGTTACTCACGGTTTCTTTCTGTTTGTGTTTCTGAATAGACCAGGGACGTCTCGGAAGCCATCCAAAAGGTAGCGGCGGCTTATGACTGCAAAGTTGCCGAGGGCGTCTTGAGCCACCAAATGAAGCAGTTCGTCATCGATGGCAACAAAGTCATACTGAGTGTTTCGAATCCGGAAACCCGCGTGGACGAGTCAGAGTTCGAGGAGAACGAGGTCTACGCCATTGACATCGTCACAAGCACCGGTGAAGGAAAGGTTCGTAGCTTTGACTTATCGTTGAAATCTAACGAAGTAAGAAACGCAAACGCTATCACAGCCGAAGCTTCTCGACGAGAGACAGACAACAGTCTACAAAAGGGCCGTGGACAAGAGCTATCATTTGAAGATGAAGGCCTCGAGGTTTATATTCAGTGAAATAAGCCAGAAGTTTCCGCTCATGCCCTTTACCGCCAGGCAAGTTGTTTTCTTCTGTAATTCTATCCTTCCGGTGAGCTCAAATTTGCATTTTCCAGGGAGCTGGAAGAGAAGCGTGCAAGGCTGGGGCTGGTCGAGTGTGTCAACCATGAGTTACTGCAACCGTACCCTGTTTTACACGAGAAAACAGGTCTCCCTCTTTACTTTTCAGTCTTTGGATCGAACTTAAGTTTCTCTTTTCGCAGGGGATTTGGTAGCTCACATCAAGTTTACGGTGTTGTTGATGCCAAATGGCTCGGATCGAATCACCGGACACAGCGTTCAAGACGTACAACCATCCTCGACCGTGGACGATCCGGAGATTAAGTCGTGGTTAGCCATGGGTATAAAGTCAAAGAAGAAAGGAGGTGGAAAGAAAAAGAAAGGTTTGTAGTGATTGGATTTTCTCTTGGGAAGATTTTAAGATCGCAACCGTGTGCCGTGCAGGGAAGAAGGGTGAAGAAGCTGCCGAGGCTAATGAAGAGGAGGAGGCCACTGTTTAGCAAAGCAAAAATTTTGACTGCCAGGTGTTTGTAGGCAATACTTCGACTTGCAAAGAAACAAGAAAAGATTCCATCTTGGAGAGCGCCACGTACAAAGTTTGGAGGAATTGATTTGTCTTGGCAGCAAAGTCAGACTTTTGTTGGCCTACTCCTGAGAAAAATGATGGTTTCTTCTGGACTTCGACAATCGATTGAGTTCGTAAACATCCAATAGCTTTTGTTTACTGCCGACAACATAAGAACCTCTTGTTATTTTCTTCTTTCTACCAAAACGTCGCTCAGTTTAGTGGTTTTTTTCTTCATCGTTCCTCAAGGCTTGATCACGAACAAAGGCTGCACAAACAAAAACAAAATCAGGGAATCCAGAACTTTTGAGATCTGGAGACGAGACTTACATCATCGGCAGCGACGGGCTTTCCATCCTCGGCGACGATCTCGACAAGCGTCCCGTCTTGATCGGACTGTTAACAGTAGGTGGAATAAGAAATGAGAAGCTGGCAAAAAAGATCCCCACCTCAATGCTGTTCATCAGCTTCATTGCCTCAATGATGCAAAGAACTTGGCCTTTACGGACTTTGTCCCCCAGCTAAAGGAAGTAACCCGATGAAAAGCTATGCAGCAAAGTAAGAAAAAGTCTCACCTTTACAAATGGAGGCTCTCCTGGTCCTGGCGATCGATAGAAATTCCCAGCCATGGGTGAGACCATGGGTGGATATTGTGGAGCGCTTGGAGCAGCTTGCGGAGCCTCAGCAGCTTGCGTTACCGCGGGAGATGGAGATGGAGCTGCTGGCATGGGAGCTGGAGTCGGCATCGCAAAAGCCGACGGTGGAAACATTGGATATGGAAGCCCAGCGGCGGCGGGGACGGGAGGAGCTGCCGCTGGTGGTGGTGCCAAAGCCTCGGCCTTCCTGATGACGATCTCATAGTCCTTGTGCTTGAGTTCCAGCTCCACTATGTCTTTGGAATCCACTAGCCTGGACGAAAAGTTCGTGGCATAAGAACAAAAGATTGCTTTGTTGTTTTGGGAGTACTTACTTGACCAAGCTCGACACGTCGGCTAGAAAGGATTTCACGTCCGCGGCCGCGAGAGGCGGCTCCTCCTCTATAGCCGGCTCCTCCACTGGACTCGTCGCTCCCACTGCCTCGGTGAGCTTCTCTTCCGCCTTGACGCCATCGACAGTCACCTGCGACGAGACTTAGCCACTGATCTAAAGCGCGAGAACAAAGAACAGGGGAAGTTCTAAGCCCGCATTGCGCAATGCAGCCAGTGCAATCCAATCAAACCTAGCACGTACCGCCTCCGCCACTGCCACGCTCCTCCACACCCCGGCTTTTCGTTGTAGATCCGCCGCCGATCTGCCGCCAAGCCGGACGCTCCGCCCGTAGAAGCACGACGATGCCGGCGCCGCGGCCGCCCGCGGCACTCCACAGCATGCATCCTCGCACCGCGGGGGGATCAAAATCCGGCATGCCGCCATAGCTGTCGCTCGAAATCGCCCGCTGGAATCGCTCGCGCTCTAGAAATACTTCCTCTCTCTCGCGCTCGCTCGCCCTAGGGATTAAATTGTGGAGCTTGGCTTGAAATAGGACAGGAGGCAACTGGACATACCAATGCCTGTGTGTCGGATCGGCCCAAGCGCTGGGCCTTAAGGACAATACGTGGATTTACACTGGTAATTTCGCAAGGACTCCATGCGAAAGATACGAGCCCCTCTTTCTTGCATGGCTGGGCTCCACTAAATACCGGGGGTTCGATTCCAAGGAAAGAGAATATGCTTTGGCATCACCTACATTTGAATGTTTTAGTTTTTGGCGCCGATTCAAGATTAGGGCTCTTGCGAGGATAGGGTTTGCTGATGAATTTGGCGAGGGCGATCGGCAATCGTGCGCGGAGGAACGCGATCGGCGCCAGCGCGCTGGGCCGGATCCGGCATTTCGATGCGCCACGGACCTCGCGGCCGTGTTTCCAGGTTGGGGGAGGGATCGATGCTGCCCATGGGGCTCCGCGGTTCTTCTCTGCGGGGCGGCTGCTCCAGGGGGGCAATGGCGCCGGGAAATCGGACGTTTCTAAGCAGAAAAAGGGGGGATTTGTGGGATGGTACTTGAATAATCTGGACAAGCGGCCAGTCGTCACGAAATCTCTCACTGCCTGTACGATTTACACCACAGCGGACCTCGTTGCGCAGGTAAGCTCTTTCTTTCTCTGCGATTTCCAGGTGTGCTTTTCGCGTGCTTGAGCTCATATATTTTTTGGCAGGGTGGTCTACACACTTAACGAAAACGTTATGAAAAGTAAGATAATCCAGTGTTCTGTGTGTGTGTGCATAGTTTCTTCTCCTGGTTTTTTTCTTTGTGTGACAAACTTCAAGGTGGTCTTTCCAGAAACTCACGGCTATGAAGCTGGGTAACGATTCTCCATGGGATCACGTACGTACACTGCGCATGTCCGCTGTTGGATTGCTTATGTCGGGGCCAACGTTGCACCTATGGTTCAATTTCTTGAACAAGATACTGCCGGGGAGAGATATGATCAGCACGCTGAAGAAAATGTTGCTGGGACAAACAACCTACGGGCCTGCGTTTACAGCCACGTTTTTCTCTATAAATGCCCTCGCGCAAGGTCTGAAGTCATGGCTACGTAGTGTTACTGTTTCTGATGCTGGTGTATGTGTGTGTTTTGCAGGCGAGAATGGTGCCCAAATCTGGCACAGGTTGAAAAGGGACCTTATTCCCACTTTAGCGAGTGGGCTTATGTATTGGCCATTTTGTGATCTGATCACGTTTCGCTATGTTCCTGTGCATTTGCAAGTACGCTGCGCTTTCTCCTTGGCTTTAGTTCTCTCCAGTTGCTGACTTGTGTTTTTTTGTAATGCAGCCTTTGGTTAGCAACTCTTTCTCGTTAATATGGACCGTCTACCTTACATACATGGCAAGCTTGAAGTGAGGTAAAAACTTGCCTTTCAATTTTGTATACATAGGCAAGCGATGCCCCCAGTCACACGCACACGAACTCGTTATTTTGAGGTCCGGTTAAGTTTGGTTAGATTGTGGACAAAGACCAGCTCTGAACTTTGCTGTTCTTGCCACGTTAAGTTATCGGTTTCACTTTATAAAGCTCCGCTAGTTGATCTCGATCCAGTGTCACCGCCAGGAAGACAGATTTATCAACCTTGCAAAGAAAATTTCTTTGACAACATCCATTTACAAAGATTTTTTTTGGCCACACGATTATTTTCCTCACGAGACGCTCTTCATGCAAAGGTGCGGCGGAAGATTTCGATGACTGACATTCTTTATATATATATGTTGTTACAAATGACAAGGAAACCACTTCCGACCGTGGCCCTTCGGTCGCTGCTCATTTATAATCCGGGTTGACCTTATGAAGCTCCCAGCCCAAGGAAATCTATGAAAGGTCTGCTCGTCGATCCTCCGGATCCAGCATCGCAGCTGATAGCAGGACCTGGGCTTGACGACGGTGTCAAAAGCAAAGAACTGGCATCCTGAGCAGCAGCGGTGGTCGACTCCAATCCAAGAGCTGGCTTCACTGGAAACGGATGAATGCACTCGGACACATCGGAGACGGAGGAGGAGCTGCGTTTGCTATCCTCCAGAGACTGTTCGTGGTGGCCTATCAACCAGGAACTGGCAGCATCGAGATGGTGGTGGTGGCTCCTTTTATTCACGGCGGTGGCGGCGGTGGTGGTGGTGGTGGCGGAGGTGGCGGCGACTTTGCTTAGAGACGGACTTTGGTGGCTGCTGAGAGCGCTGCCCAGAGACGTGACTCCGTTTGCGCTGATATCGTCGAGATGGAAGAGGCCATGGTGGTGCATTGGAGCAGGGCCAGTGTAGATCTTTCCGGCGAGAGCGTCTTGGCTGCAAGTGGGATGGCCCCAGGGACAGGCTTGCGAGAGGAGAAGAGTCGGCTGAGAAGGAGGTGGCCCGGAAGAAGCTGCACAAAGAAAGACGGGGCCAGCAATGTGAGAACGATGCGTGATGGCCTCGGTCGAGCTCTCACCTCTTGTGGCCGCATTGCTCCCGAGTTTGCGAGCGCTCGCGTCGAAATGATCCTGCGGCACGGCATTGAGGTCCAGGCGGTCCGCCGCTCGATGGAAGAGGGTGCTGTTGATCGACTTGGTGGCACCGCCGGCGTTGCAAGCCGATTTCAAGCGATCGTCGTTGACAAGAGAGTACTTTTGGATCCACGCCGTGAGGGACTGGGCTACCGTCTGGCCGATGCTGGGACGCTTGGTTCTCCAGGAAGCCTGGCTCTTCTTACGTCCTTGCATCCGGGACCTCTCGCGGAGCTTCCTGGCCATGACAACGTGCCAGTGGTTCTTGACAGCGTTATCAGTTCTCCCGGGGAAGATCCTGGCGATCATCGCCCACTTGTTCCCGTGAAGCTGGTGCGCGGCGAGCAGTCGCTCCTCCTCTTCCTCGGAGAATGGCTTGCGGTTGATCCGGGGATCCAGCTGGTTGAACCATCGCAGCCGGCAGCTCTTTCCTGCGACATCATCGACAGTGGTGGTGAGAAAAAACAGATTTTCAAACAGGAGGACGAGGATGAGAGAGCTGTGACATTCACCTGATCGACCCTCGAGCTTCTCGGCAATCACGTTCCAGTTCTGAGGCCCGTGGATCCGGACGAGCTCCTTGAGCTTCTCGTCCTCGGCGGGCCGCCAGTGGCCGCGGTGGCACAGCTTGGACTGCGAGCAATCGGCGTCCCTGTCCACGGAATTCTCCGACTCGTCGTTCATGGTATCCTGCGTCTGGTTGTTGAAGCTGCCTTGATCCATGTACTCATCGCCACCACCACCGCCACCGCCACCGCCGCCGCCACTACTTCCAACAACTTGGGGACTCCTTTGCTGCTGCTGCTGGTGTTGGAGCCCCCAGGTCCAAGGAACTGGCGGCATTTGCATCTGGATGGACGGAGCTACAACACTAGACTGCTGCTGCTGCTGCTGCTGCTGTTGGTGCTGGCTGCTCCATCCGATCCGAGAGTTACTTCCGGCCATCGCCTGTGCTGCTGCTGCTACTGCTGCTGCTGGCGTTCCTCCCAGTTCTCCAGCGGCAGCACCATTCATGAAGTCGAGGAACATGAGCATATGGATCGATGTGTGGGGGGAGGGGGCGAAGGAATAGGAGGAGGAGAGAGCGCGAGAGAGATGGGAGAAGTTACGCAACAACAATGCAAAAGTGGCAGCACAGAGAGGCGAGCAAGGAGGGCGGCCGAAAAAAAAAGGAGAGAAACAACGAGAAACAAAACAAACAACTTACTTATACCCGGGGCCGAATGACTGGACTCCGTTACGCGCGCCCGCATTCCGGCGGCGCGCGCGCCACACACTGGAAAAAAAAGAAAAAAAACAGTTTGGTATAATTGCCACGTGGCTGACACGTCAGTGCCACGCGAACGACCAGATTCTTTTTTAAGCGCTTTAATTATGACGTCACCAAGCATCACACGTCATAGTGACTAAAGAATCTTTGTTGGATTCGCGTTTCTTTTATTTCTCTCTTCGCGGGCGACAACGTCACAGTGTGAAAGAATTAACTTTTGCTTTCACGATATAACGACGCTTAAAAAGAATAGCACCAACAAGCTGGTACCTTGCGAAAGAAAGAACGCTATCAAAAAATTCGTGCCTCTTTCTCAATGGGTTCTGTTATTCACACACACATTTCCACGAGCGTGAGAAGAACACAAGCGAAGAGAAATCAGCTCACCAGTAGCGAAGGATCACATCGCATCCCATCGCATTGTCACGGAGCACGGACTGGTTCCTGGCTGTCAAATTCGGGAAGAACAAAAAAGAAAAAACCAAAAGCCACACTTATCTCCCGAGTGAATGTGGCTCCAGCTGAGGCAGGCCGGATTCTCCTCCATCTTCCAACGATGCTTTTCTTTCTCCGTTGTCTCTCGAATCTCGCTCTCTCGATCAAGCGCTTCTTCCATGAAAGTAAAGAGAAAAGGTTCCAAACTCCGAGGCACTGTGTCTGTGTAGGTGGCGCTCCCTGCTTGGCGGTGACGCTTTTGTCTTTCTCAACCCGTCAGGCCCGAAGATAATTGCACACCCGAGGTACCACCACCAGTACCACCACAAGTCACCGAGTTCGCTGACTTTAGCTTCCCGAGAGACAACACCGCAATGAGTGCCTTGGAAGGCAGAATCATAATTCCAGCAGCAACTTATCTGCCATAAAACCCACGAGTGACGACTTCCTGTAATGCTGCTGCTGCTATCCTGCTGCTGCTGCTGTTACTTTTCCCCTCCGAGATGCAAAGAGAGAGAGGGAGAGCTCTCCCTTCAAGTCCCTGCTTACTTCCTGCTATTCTATCTATCTATATGCTGTTTATATTCCTTTCCTCCCTCCCTCCCTCCCTCTCTCCCTCCTCTGGCTGGCCCCTGGCACTCCCAAATTCCCAGATTCCCAAAGGTACCCCTAGTGCTATAGCTAGAATTGGAGATAGAGAGATGATCTGGCCTAGGCAGGAGTATGAAGCCTATAACAAACAGAGCACACTGTTGTAAGGCCTGACTATGGACAAGACGACTTCTTTCTAGCGGGGCTTCTGGTAAGTCTGCCTATTACGGACGAGACGAGGAGATGGTGGATGGAGATATAGAGAGAGGATGGTGATGCTAAAAGAGAGGACGCTTAGGGAAGCACACGCGCTGCTGCAATCAATACCACATGCAACATCAACAAGCCAAGAAAGGACCGACGACGCAGCTCGCAAGAGCGATCTTTCGAGCAAGGAATGAAAATCTAAGCTACACAAAAAGCCCACTTGTAAACTACACATACCTTTCAAAGCCTCATTACGACAGCCGATATCACCACCACCCCCACCACAGACACACCGTTGCTGCTGCTGCTGCTCCTGCGTAAGTATTCCTTTTCGTGGACTCACAAGGTACACGTCCCCTGTGCGCAATGCACGTGGATGGATACGGAGGGTTGAAACTCCACGGGACTGCACTGCCACATCGGCTCTGTGCCTGTTCTGTCTGCCTGCGCAGAACCAAAACCGAGGTGAGTATGAGGACTTTTTAGCATTTAGCATTAGGCTCACCTTGATGATACCATTACCAAGTGGTCAACTTAGCATAGCTACCTAAGGTGGAAAATGAGGAGAGAAAAAAAGAAAAGATCGTCAATAAGAATGAAATCAGATTACCTCTGCCTGCGCGATGCTCTTTTACACACCAGTATCAGTAGCGTTGGATCTCGGTTGGAGCGCCTCTTCTCTAGCTTTATAGACGCCTAGGACATAGTTCCTCTGCCTGAGATGTGCTCTGACTTGTCCAAACAGCTGCCAGCGGAGAAGCCGCCCATAACCAATACCAAATCCCACCAAGTACTTATGGTGGATTTGATCGATCACATGGAAAGGCCTTCACAATCGGTGCAGACAGTAAGCAGCAACAACAACAGCAGCAACGAGAGAGCCTGGTTAAGCTGTTTTTCCCTGCTGCAGGAATCCAACACCACAACCTTGCCTTTGCTGACGACCCGGATGATGGAAGCCTCACACGCAAAAGGCACCCCAAGGACGACCTGGGAAGAGTCAGCCACCTTTGCATAAAATACCCCCGCTCCACGAACTGATGTATGAAAGGGGCGCCTGAGAGGCAGTCCATATCCATCCAGAGCCAAATCTATATCCAATGTTCCCCTGCCACTGTACTCGAGCCTCGCCATCAATACCGCCCCACCTTCCAAAGCCGAGAAAAAGACCATTCCTGGCACCAATTGAACCGACAAGTGACCGGATTCGAGCTCCATGAGGTGCACGAGAAGGCAATCTCATCGGACACATAGTCCTGATTCGAACCACCTTCGTTTCTCCTGTGCCTGTGCCGCTCAGTCGCCAGAGAAAGAAAAAAGAATAAACAATATGCTTACCCCGATTTGTTGTGGACTGTAAGATCCAGGATACGAAAGCCAACTAAATCCTGCCTGATGATGGTAATAAAACACAATGATTGCACGATTGCCTAATTTAACCAGATTATCTGCACCAACACATCAGAAAGACCCCACGAGGCGAGCTAAGATAAGCAAATCGAACTGTCTATGTACGCATCATACCTTATACGTCTAGGCCCGTGGTAGATTACGAGCTGTTTGATGCTCAAGTTGCTCCACGGTTTCCCGTAGCATCTTTCTGTCCGCGCTTGTCAAGGCTTTATCTACGTGAAAAAAACAAAAGAAGAAAACCGCGAAAGGATACACTTGAGCTGCCAGGAGATGGATATCCTTCATCTCCTCGTTAAGTCTGCAACTCACAAGAAAAACATGAGAAACAAGCATCTAGAGAGGAAGCAGAAAAAAAGAAAAAGAAAAGAAAAGAAGAAAAAGCTCACCTGAGACAAGAATTTACAAACTTATTTCCTTTCGTAGCAGCGTCAATGCCTGCATTAGAATCGCATATCAAAAAACAAGAAAAAACAAGAAAAAGAATAACTTACATCCATTTTGTAGACTCCCGGCAGCATTATTGTAGCACGCCAGATGATCCCGCGTACTGCCAGTGACCTAGACCAGAAATCTTCACTCCAGAGGCCAAAATTTAGGCTTGCAGAACCATACCTCGCTCATCGCCTCCCTCAGCGATGCCACCAGCGAGCAGAAGCTACCCGCGGCATCTCTCGCTTCATCCTCCACGGCTTGCAGCAGCTGCGTCGCCCTGCGCACATCCGCCGTGGAATCAAACACGGGCTGGATCTCGTTCTGGAGGGCGCCTCCTCCTCCTCCCCCCGCCATCGCTCCTCCAAAGCCCTAAAGCAAACGCGGCGGGATTAACACGAGATAAGAACAGTGAAGTAAAAATTCGCATTGCTGTGATAGACGGCTCAAGGTTTTTCCATACAAAACGTTTCTTTTCATACGCTCGACTGTGGTGAGGGAGACTCGGGAAGAAGGAGAAGAGTCTAGCCTGACCCGGGGAGCATTATCGACCAGTAATGGCTGTGTCCCATTGATTTATCGCGCTGCGGACCTGGATTATCGCTATGTCGCCCACTGACGATCGCCTCATTTTTTCTCAGTGGTGACTCCCACCGCCACACTGGTCACCTGGAAAGTTTTCACAAAGTTTAGAGATCTTTCCTACAGCAAGGAGCGCAAAGAAAGGAAAGAGATCATACTAGCTTGCCGGTTTCATCCATGGTCATGGGGTTCTCCACAACCACAGTCTGCGATGGTTGCCTCGTCGGCGCAGGCTGCGTGATAAGATACATTAGTGATCGAGTGCTATGTCAATCAAGCTGTGAAAATGGCTGATACCTCTGATACGGATGCGGGCTGGGGAAGGGGAGCGTAGGTTGGTCTTTGCACAGGGAGGGGCATTCTCGCGTTGCTGAGATGCTGGTCACACAGGGAGAAGTGGCGTGATAAGATCAAAACATAACGTCGCCCTCAAGAAAAGACTTACCGGTATCGTCGTGACATACTGGCAGAGCGCGCATTTCACCGATTGCGCTCCAAACGCATACATGAGAGTCGTATTACAGCCTCCGCAGCTAATATGCGCTACTTGGTTCGCTAAAATCACAAAACAAGTGCGTTAAGAAAACCAAAACCAAAGATAAACGAACGAAGAAAGGGACCACACCTTCCATCGCCAAGTTGATTGTGTGACAGCACGAGCACTGGACACTAGTGGCACCACGCACATACATGAGTAGCGTCCGGCATCCCCCACAAACGAGCTGAGCCATCTCGGTTCCTACAGGGACCACTCGCAAAACAAGACAAAGTCAACAAAAAACGTAGCAAGAGAAAAGATTTCTTTGCTTTTTTCTTTGATTTTTTTTTTTTTTTTCTTGATGGAAACCGACCTGGAGGAGGAACGGGAGTGACAGAGCTGCATAGCGCACAGCGGACATTCGTAGCACCTTGAGGATATACGAGCAAAGTCCTACATCCACCACAGATCAGCTGGCCTTGAGACCCTGCAAAACAATTTTGACAGACAACATAAGATAAGGGATGAGAGAGGAAACCAAAGACAAAGTAAAAGCGATGAAAGCGAAACGATTCGTTATCTCCCTCCCCCCTTTTCACGATTTCACGAGATTATGGAGCAGCGATCGGTCCGGGGGGAAATTCTGGAGAAATCGGGGCAAGAAGGGGGGAGCGATTGATTTCTCACCTGGCGGTGGCGGCATATGAGGCTGGGGAGCGTAGGGCACCAGCGGAACCGGCATTGGCGCGGAGATTCGCGTGAATCGCTGCCGATGAATCCGATGAATCGCGCGCCCGGAAATTCCGCCGAGAGATCGAAACAGGGCAACGATCTCCCCCAAAACTTCCCTGCAATGCGCCGATCCGATGGCGCTAGCGCCGCGCCAGGCGCCTCAGCTTCGTCGAAGCCAAACCCTACGCGTCGCCCGGGAGAGCTAAGCTTTGTGGTGAGAGCTTCTTTGAATCCATGAGAATTTTCGTCGAAAGCCTGATCAGCCAGCGCCAAGGCTTATCCACACCGTCCATCGCGACAATCGTAAACCGACGGCCGAGATGGGTTAGGTCTCCTCTTGAGTTGAATATTCTCAGCTTAGAACCCTAATTCTTCCATAGAAGAGGGCGATGAAGATCACGGCGCTGCTGCTGCTCAGGGCGAGCGATTCGGCAGCAGGATCATCGGCTTCCGGCAGCGACCCGGCGGTACTGGCAAATGCATCGGATGTGAGCCATTTCGGCTATTTCCAGCGCTCCAGCGCCAGAGAATTCATCATGTTTGTAGCTAGAACTCTCGCCAAGCGGACGCCGCAAGGGCAGCGGCATTCCGTGGAGCAGGATGGTAAGCGTTGATTTCCAGATCCAGTTTTCTCATTCTTTGCGTGTAGAGTATGTGGTGTATTGCTACAACAGGAATGGGCTTTGCGGGCTGGCGTTCACGGACAAGCAGTATCCAATGCGAAGTGCTTTCTCAGTAATTAACAAGGTGAGCAATCCAAATTCTTTTGTTCTTCTCTTGAGCATGATCATCGCTCAGGTGATCGATGAGTACATCCAAGCGTTTGGAAATTCCTGGAAATCAGTGACAACCGATAACACGGAACAATGGCCGGCTCTAAATCAAGCCTTGATGAAGTACCAGGTTGGTTGCTCCATTCCAGTTTTGCTCTTCAATCGTGAGATCTTTCCGTGAATTGCAGGATCCAATGGAAGCTGACAAGCTCATGAGGATCCAGAGGGATCTCGACGACACCAAAGTCATACTGGTACGTGACGCCATAGCTTAGCTTCCTTTCGACAAGGATTTATTTTTCTCCTTGTTTGTACAGCACAAGACCATAGAAAGCGTCCTCGCTCGAGGGGAAAAGCTCGACTCATTGGTGGAGAAGAGCTCTGATCTTAGCATGGCTTCCCAGGTATCCAAAATCTGTCTTTTCAATCGTATCAAACTCCCAGCCTGCAGATGTTTTACAAGCAAGCCAAGAAAACCAACCAGTGCTGCAGCATCTTGTGAGAGCGACGCGATTTTGATAAAACTCGCTATACATACCGTGTGTTGACGTAAGCTTGTATAATCTACCAGCACCTCAGAAAAGTATCTATCATCACTGTAATCAGCCAGATTCACGAAACTTCAAATCCATTCTTTTCTATCTTCCTGAAACAAGCTAGAAAAAAAGTTAAATCTTACAAGTAAGATCAGAGGTGTTCTTTCCATCACATAGACATTGCTTGCTCACAGCTCTGCAGCGCTTGGTTCGCGAAGTATCTCACGTCCACGTCCGGATCTTCGCTCAACTCCACCAAGCATGGGCGAATCGACTGCTCAACAACCTGGAAATACACATTAAAAAGTAGTCTCTAGAAAGCTTGAGAACTTCTGTGACTTTACCTCGCTGCCAACGATCGGGATAAACGATTGTAGGATCTTCGCCACGTTGAACTTCACGTTTGGAATCCTGTTACAATTTATTAATTCGACTTCTACCTTGGCTCGACGTACCTGTCTTTTGCAGCGTTGATCACGACTGGTAGCATCATCTGGCATGTCACTTCCGAGCCAACAACAGGGGCGAACAAAGAAATGGCATACAGTATCGTCAACCGGTATAAATAGTGAGGATTGTTAATCATCTCCAACACCTGAGAAAAGCATTACTTTCAAGAGATCTTCACACACAAAAAACTCATACCTGTGGAATAATATGTCTGCAAGCCCATTCTGTGCCAAACTCTTCGGTCAGCCTCTTCAGGTTGTTTGCGGCAGCTTCCCTGATAGAGCACACCTGGTACACGATTTGGTTGAGTGTCAACACTTGAGATTTCACGATTCAAACCTGATCTCCAAGCCAATGCATACACAAGGCACCAAGCTTGTCATCAAAGAATTCCACTCCCAGTTGGCTCGCAAGGAGTGGAATGTACTCAATAATAGCCAGCCGCACCCGCCAGTGTTTGTCTTCGGCCAGTTCCACAATCGCGGGTAGGAGAGATTGCGATAACAAGTCAATACCAATAACCTGTAACGAAAAGATCAACTCAAAACAATGAATCTTCGTTGGGCGAACTTGCCTTGTTGACTTGATCCAGCTTGCTTATGATGTTGAGCCTAACGTCAGGGAATTCATCCTTCAAAAGGGCCAAAAATATTGGTAAAAGTTGTTCGATTGTCGCGTCCTGCAAACCAAACTAATCAGCACAGGACGAAAGAGCACAAATTGCCTACTTTTCCAAGAACCGGTGCCATGCCCATTATTACAGAAGCCAAAGCCGCACGAACATGTTGTGACGAGTCTAGAGAAAGTTCCTGTTGGGAGTCAAAAGAAGGTCATGTCTGTGCACCACAGAAAAATCTCTCGGCTTACCTTTACACATGGTAGAATGCTTTGCATGGCAATCTCGGGCTGGACTATCTCACAAAACTTGGTCACTTTATCGGCTGCTGCTATTCTGACTTCCGCTTCGTTATCTCTTAAAAGTCGCACATAGGCGGGGACCAGATCAACCCTTTGCACATAAAAGAAAAGATCAACAATCCATCAGTGTCCCCAAGAAAAAGCCAATGTCAGTGGACAATACCTAGTACATTCCGGTCCAACAGTTTCACAGAGTTCATATAGTTGATTAGCAACCATATAACGTACCCGCCAGGACTTGTCCTGTAGAAACAAACACGCACCGCATCAGCAACAGGAACAATAAAAGAATGAGACATACTTGTGAGAAATTTAGTATGAGCGGCAACACACAGGCAATGCAGTCGCTTGTTTGTAGCAACCTTCCAAGCGCAGCACAGCCTTCAACAGCTAGAAGCCTGACCGAATCCTGCTCTGAAACATCGAAAAAGAAATTTGAGAAAAGAAAAAAAAAACAAAAAAAAATATTGGGAAAGCGTTGCTGATCATACCATCCTGTGTGAGGTCCCGAAAGACAGCCATGATATCGGTCTTTAGAAACGCAGGCTCGATGGTAGCAGCAAACTTCCCGAGGTTGGAGATGGCGGCCCTTCTCACCAAAGGCATATCGTCGTGACTTAGTTGGTTGTAGATGGTTCTCAATTCCGCTCGGAGAAGCTCCGGAGCGCTCGGGTAGACAATGTGTAGCAGTCCACACACCGACACTCTAGCCGTGAACCATTCTCCAGCCGCGAGCCTCTGCGAATCAAAGAGATCTCACGCCGTGAGCTCAATGTAGCTACAGATCTACGACCTTTACCTTGACAACCGGAGCAAACCATTCCACAAGATCGCGCTCGTTCATCACGCTGGCGATCTTGCATAGCGACGCCACCGCCTTCTCCCTCACCGCGCTCTCCTCCACATCGCACAGCGCCTCCAGCGGGGGTAGCAGAGAATGCGCGTACTCCACGCCCCCAACGTAGGGGACCAGATTCCCCAGCTCCTCGGCCATGGCAAGAAGAACCTCTTCATCGTCGTCGCTGCCGTCGGCGAGGAAGGGGATCAGCTCCCGCCGCGTCCGATCCTCGCCCAGAGCCCTAGCGATGGTGGACAGCCGGCGCACCGAGTTGATCCGGAGCTGGACGTCGTCGTTCTTGAGCTCGTCGATGAGCACTGCGATCGGATAGAGCGGCTCCTCCACCATTGCCGCCATAGCTCCCAGGAGAGAATCCACAAACCCTAGAACGGTATTAGTCCGCCAGGAGACTAGAATATGCCAATCGCGTCTTTTAATTTCTAGAATGGGTCCACCTGCAAATAAAAACTAGGCCTTCTAGAACTGATCTTTTCTTCATGCATTTCTTATTCCCATGCTTTTGATGTTCTTCGCAATGACTGCCACAGAACAGCTTGATCTTGATAGAGCCAACACTCAAATCTACATACCTTACTTGGGAGGGACGAGAAGCATCGAGGCTCAAACTCTCACAGCAAGCCATCACCAGATTCTTTCTCAAGTCACTGGAACGTAAAGTTTTTCATGAGAACTTCATAAAACGCTAATTTCTTTCTTTTCTACCTTAGTTTGTAGCGTGCCATGGATGCTGTTGTCTACGCCTTTAGTGCTTTCTCTGCAAGGCTAACACCAGATCAGGCCGAGAGATTGTCCAAGTTAAGTCTGTTCTCAGATAAATTCACTAAACAATGTTGTTCTTATTTCCTGAAATCTGAAACAAACAGAGGACAACGTTCCTACCTTAAATTCCAGAAGCCATAGAATATTCTTAAAATATTCCTGTGATTTATGTTATTTTTCTCTCTCTTGTGACCCAACTACATGCTAAAAGTTAAATAAGCCTCAAATAAAGGGAGTTTAAGCATGGAGAAAAATTGTGTAAGCGGCAATACTAACATTACAATTAATGGCTACACAAGAAAAGAAGCAATATAGCTTTATTGAATAATAATATGGTCATAGAAATAAAAGAATGAGAATAAAGTAAACAATTTAAATTATATACCAATATGGCTATAAAACTCAATTCTCCTTTTCTTTAAGAATGTCATTCAAGTTATATCTAAAACTTGGAAACATTTTTTTCATCTTTAGTCCACATAACCAATAATTCACAAATTGTCTTATAGAATTTTTTCACCAATTTTTTAGTAAGAATATTTATTGGATCAGCTTTCTTAGCATCAATCTCTAAGACTTGGATGATAGACTAATCCATGACATCACCATAGTGTAAACACAATTTAAATTTGCTTACATGAAATATTGGATGAATCTTTGAACTAACTAATAAATTGAAAATATAAACAAGATCCCCCATATGCTATAAAATTGTCCAAGGCCCACAATATAATGCATTGCCACCTCCTTTCAAATTAAATATCAACCTTTTCAAACTTCTTGATAAACAGTTGTAAAACCAATAACTTTCTAATGATTCCAACCAATAATCAACCTTTTAGCTCACAAATGTTTCATGATTAATACCATAATTTTTAGCATGTTTGATATAACAATGGTAATTATAGATACAAGATTGATTCAACCTTTAAGGGTGTGAAATAGGAAACCCTTAATAAAATTGATGGAATCCTTAATCTCCTTAATGTTGCTCTAAATCTCAGTAATCTAGCATCTTTATCACACAACAATATCATCAAAAAATTCTTCATCCTTATCAAAGGCATCATCCACTCTTCCACCACCCTAAAAGAACATATTGTTTTAATACCAATGAAACTAACAAAAGGTCAACCTCCCAACTTTTAAGGTGTTCATGTGTTTTGCATTTTTTTTGTCTTATTAAACTTATATGCCCTTTCTAACCCTAAACCCAAACTTAAATCCCACAGGTGTGGAATATTCTTGGAATATTCCCATGGTTTGTGTCCATCAGTTGGCTTCGGCGAGTCTCTAAGTTCAACGCAATCTGGAATCAACTTCTCCCCTCGGCAACGTTTACAATGTCATTGTTGGAATTCTAGACACCGGTAACACTCCTGTCTCTTCATAAGCTAGCATAGGAACAACCATCAGCCGTTCTCAGAAAGAATGGCTGCGAGATGAGCTTACTCATTTTTTGAGAAGTTTAGCCTGATCTCATTCTTGTACAAGAGTATACGCCAACATGGGACCCGTTCCAGGATGCTGGAAAGGAACTTGCATGAATCCAGCTGGAAAAAACGCATCCGCCATTATCAATTGAAACAGGTTTGCCAGCCTAAAGAAAAAAAAATTCAGTTACCTGGATCATGCTTGTGCTCGTTCTTTCGACGCTAGCCACTCACCATCTATGAGAACGCAAGGGACAAGATTGGTCACGGAACTCACACTGCCTCCACCGCGACTGGAAGGCTCGTTTCAAACACAAGTATGAAACGAGGAACTGCCCAAGGTGGTGCACCGTTATCAAGGCTTGCAGCTTACAAAGTTTGCTGGGGTATCACCTGTGACGAGGCTGATATTTTACCTGGATTCGACAATGAAATAAATGATGGAGTTGGATATCATCTCAATCTCGGTCGGGGGAAATCCACTTCGATATAGCATCGATGGATTAGCAATTGGAGCTTACCACGCATTTTTGTCACTGCAGCTGCTGGAAACTTTGGCACTTGTTACTATGAAATTGCAAATGGTGCACCTTGGCTCTTCCAAGTACGATTGATCGAAAAATCACGGAGGATAGATCATTCTTGAGAACTTACTTGTTTTCTATTTCTTTTCTTCATCAAGTTTGCGCGAGCTCAACCTCTGTACATTGAGGAATTGCGGTCGTTTATGCGAGTGATGGTTTTTCCTTTCTTAAAAACATTGTAGTTATCTTTCTCGAGATGTTTTTCTAATCACGATATACCTTTCTATTTTATCCTCCACTATTTTACTGTTATTTTGTAAAAAGGTTAACATGAAAATAGAATATTAAATTAAATAGATTGGCGTTAAATTAGCAGCATTAGGATAATTTAATGCCGCCCCTTAATTGCAAGCAAAAACTATCTTTTCGTCATGGTCTCCATTTTGCTTTTCATGTTCTTCACAGTGACTGCCGCAACGCAGCTTGATGGAACCAATATTTACATAGCTTACTTGGGAGGGACGAGAAGCATTGAGGCTCAAACTATCACAACAAGCCATCATCAAATTCTTTCTCAAGTCACTGGAACGTAAAGTTTTTTCATGAAAAGCAGGACTCCACAAATCACTAATTTCTTTCTTTTCTACCTTAGTTTGGAGTCTGCCATGGACGCCATTGTCTACAGCTACAGCCACGGCTTTAGTGGTTTTTCTGCAAAGCTAACACCAGATCAGGCCGAGGCATTATCAAGTTAAGTCTGTGATCATGGAGAGGTTCACTAAACAATTTTGTTCTTACCAGAGTTTCCTGAAATACTGAGCGTTTATCCCAGTAAGACGTATCACATCCAGACAACTCGTTCGTGGGACTTCGTTGGCTTGAGCGAGTCTCTAAGTTCGGAGCAATCAGGAATCGAGTTCTTACCCCATGAACGTTACGATGTCATTGTAGGAGTTCTAGACAGCGGTATCACTCCTCTTGCCCCTTCATATGCTAGCATAGGAACAACCGTCAGCGTTCTCGGACAGAAAGTCTGCGAGACAAGCTTACTCATTCTTCGAGAAGTTGATCTTGATCTCGTTCTTGTACAGGAGTGTGGCCAGAATCCAAGAGCTTCCACGATGCCGACATGAGACCCGTTCCAGGACGATGGAAAGGAACTTGCATGAATCCAGCTGGTACAAACGCATCTGCCATTATCAAATGCAACAGGTGAAAAGAAAAAACATAGCAAACTTAACACCAATACACTAACCTGAATCATCTTTACAGGAAGCTTGTCGGTGCTCGTACTTTCGACGCTCACGGCTCACACGTCTATGAGAATGCCAGGGACGGCACTGGTCACGGAACTCACGCTGCATCCACTGCGACTGGAAGGCTCGTTGCAAACGCAAGTGTGAATGGAGTTGCCCGAGGAACTGCCCGTGGTGGTGCACCGTTATCAAGGCTTGCGGCTTATAAAGTTTGCTGGGGTTTCATCTGTGACGAGGCTGATATTTTAGCTGGATTTGACACTGCAATACACGATGGAGTTGATATTATCTCAATCTCAGTTGGGAGAAGCCCGCATAGATATAGTACTGATGGATTAGCAATTGGAGCTTACCATGCCGTGGAGAGAGGCATTGCCGTTGCAGCACCTGCTGGAAACTTCGATTTTTTTATCTATCAAATTGCAAATGGCGCACCTTGGCTCTTCACAGTTGCTGCAAGCACGATTGATCGAAAAATCACAGAGGTTAAGATCTTTCAGAATAAAAATGAGGACTTATTTTTTCTTTTTTTTCTTTTATGTTCTTACCTGTTGTGCAGAATAATCAGACCGACAATTATAAACCAGCTCCAGTTATGGCTCCATTCTCCTTGACTGGACCAAACAGCTTGGATGCAAGTATCATAAAGGTGAGCATTAGAAGCAAAGCATTGTTTCATAGATGACTTACACAGATGATTTACATGAGCGACTTTTGTAGCCCGATATCACTGCTCCTGGTGTTGATATTCTAGCAGCCTGGCCAACCAACATTCCAGTTCATGGTACCAATGCAACTTACGGTGAATACTCACTTCTCTCGGGGACATCGATGGCCACTCCACACGTTGGGGGAGCATTAGCATTCCTCAAGTCGATCCATCCGAAATGGAGCCCCGCAGCACTAAAATCTGCACTCATGACAACAGGTAAACTCATCAAACAATTGCGAAAGATGATCATCAACGATTCAATGCAGCAAGCACCCTGGATAACACAAACGCCACAATCACGAGAGGAAACGCCCCATCCAATCCATTCAGCTTTGGCTCTGGCATCATCCAGCCCGCAAAAGCAGTCGATCCAGGACTAATCTATGATATCCATCCAGAAGACTACATACAATATCTCTGGAGCATCAACTATACCTCCGTCGAGATCCAGCACATGACTGGCAGCCATTGCCCCAAACACTCCACGGATTTCAGCCTCAACTATCCCTCCATCGCGATCGACAAGCTTGCGCCGGGCGCCAGCCGCACAATCTCAAGGATCGTCACGAATGTAGGCACCGGAAGATCTTCCTACACTGTCGCCGTGGCGCCGCCGAGCGATGCCGCGCTTGCCATCGCCGTGAACCCTAAAACCCTAGATTTCTTCTTCACTGGCCAGAAGCTCTCTTACACAGTCACGCTATCTTTGAATAAGGAAGCGGCGGGAAAGAGCTGGATATTCTCTGCTTTGACTTGGACCGATGGCACCCATCAAGTACGAAGCCCCATTGCTGTGTCCTCTAGCTGATGATCAAAGTGAAAATAAAATTTAGGTCTTGGAAGACCGCTAGGTCATTGTGGATCTTCACTTCTTGCAGCGTCATCGATTCTTCCGCGTGGATGAACTACTGCTTTCCTGGATCGGCTAGAACTTTTGATCCATTGGATGAGCCACGGATCGGCTAAGAACTAGCGCTTAATCGATTCTCCGCGTGGATGAGCTTCTCCTCGGCTAGAAATCACAAATGTAAGTGTTCTTCTCTTTTAGAAGCTTCATTCCACTCTCTCTTTCCATGAAGTGTTTCTTGCGGGAGGTTCACATCCAAAGTTTTCCATCGCGGCCACGAAAACTATCACCGCCTCGTCCACAGCGGCATTGCTTGCTGCTCTAAAGGCTTGTAGCGGCCGGGCAACGAAAGAAGATGCCACAGAAGTTAATGGAAGGCTTGTCAAGGCCAAGTCTCTGCAAGAAGGTATGGAAATTCATTCTCAGGCTGGCTGCTTACGGGACGTGTTCGTGGCTAGCAGCTTGGTGGACATGTACGCGAAGTGTGGAAGCCTGGAAAAGGCTCGCAACGTTTTCGAGGCGATGCCTTGGCAGAACGTTGTGTCATGGAACGCGCTGATGCTCGGGTATGCTGAGAATGGGGAAGAGGAGGCATGTGTGAACTTACTTTCGTGTTTAGTGCCGAGGCTTCGATCACCGAGAACTTACGCGATTGCTCTCAAGGCTTGCAACAAATTAGCAGCAAAGGAAGAAGGCCAGAGCTATGGTGAACAGGAGCTTGTCAAAATCAAGAGCCTGGAGACGGGTATGAGGTTGCATTGTCAGGCTGCTCGGAGTGGTTTTGACGCGGAAATTTTTGTTGCTGGCAGCTTGATTGATATGTATGCCAAGTGTCGGAGCTTGCGGGATGCTCGCAAAGTTTTTGATACGATTCCTTGCTACGACGTGGTGTGTTGGAACTCGCTCATGTCGGGCTACATTGAAAACGGTGAGGGAGGCACAGCTTTGGCATTGTTTGATTGTCTTGGCAGTTTAGCGGATAGTCTAAGCTATGTTGTTGCTTTCAGAGCTTGCGCTGGTCTGGCAGTGGAAGAAGAAGCTAAGAAAGGCAGTGTGAAGTGGGAATCGCTTCAAAGAGGTACCAACCTTCACCTTGATTATACAAAACGACTTGGGAATAATGGTGATTGTAAGCTTCAGGTGGTCACCAGCATTATAACTATGTACTCAAAGTGTGGATCCATGGTGGAGGCTCGTAGAGTATTTGATGGTCTCGAGCGAAACACTCACGATGCGGTTTCATGGACAGCGCTTATGTTTGGGTACGTCGAGAACAAGCAGGAACTCCAGGCTTTGGAACTTTTCGTAAGCATGGCCAAAGTTTGTCGACCAAACGCGCGGGCGTTTGTGGTTGCACTCAAGGCTTGCACTCGAGTAGCTGCGAACGAAGGTGGCAAGGTCGTTGCTGGGGACACGATTGTGAAGGTCAGAGCTTTGGAAAATGGGATGGAGATACACCGCAGAGCTGCAACCGATGGATTCGACAAGAACACCATTGTCTCCAACGCGGTGGTGGAAATGTACGCACAGTGTGGGAGCCTAGTCGATGCTCGGGCAGTCCTGGACAGGATGGTGGAACACGACGAGGCGTCCTGGAATGCCTTGCTTCTCGGCTACTCTCAAAGCGGCGAGCAGGAACTGGCTCTGGAGCTCTTTGAGCTGCTGAGCTCTTCGGGAAGAAGCGGCGGCCGTCCGGCTTACGCTGCTGCACTGAAGTGCTGCGCTGAACTGGCCGCTAAGGAAGATGGCAGGACGGTCGACGGGAAGCTCGTCAAGCTCGGCTCTCTGGGGAAAGTTATGAGGATCCACTCGCAGGCTGTGAAGATCGAGCTCGACTCGGACAGGTTTCTAGCCAGCGCGCTGGTTGATACGTATGCCAAGTGTGGGAGCGTGCTGGACGCTCGAAGAGTTTTCGACAGCATGGTGCTCGAGGGCCAGGACGACTTGGTTTTGTGGACTTCGATCATGCTGGCTCACGCCGACAACGGTGAAGGGAGAGTGACTTTGGAGCTCTTCTCGCGGATCAAAAGCCAGCCTTGGTGGTCGCCGCGGGATCCTCAGACAATGGTCGCGGCGCTCAAAGCTTCCGGGAGCAGTGAAGTGGCGTCGCTGGAGAGCGCTCGGCGGATCCATGCGGAAGCTTGCCGGCACGGCCTGATCGAGCGCGACGAAGCTCTGGCGAGCTGCCTGGTGGACGCGTATGGAAGGCTCGGAAGATCCGGCGACTCCCAGCAGGTATTCGACTCCATTCCCGTGAAAGATCCACTGACTTGGACGGCGCTGGTGGCCGGTTACAGCCGCGTGGGAGATCCGGAGCTCGTCTTTCGCTGGTTTCGCAAGATGGTCGACGAGAAGATCATCCCGGACGCCATCGCTTGCGTGTGCGTGCTCGCGGCTTGCAGCCACGCCGGCCTCGTCGACAGAGGCCGGGAGTTTGTACGCGAGATGGAGGCGAAGTTTGGGATCAAGCCCGACATCCGGCACTACTCGTGCGTGATCGACATGCTGGGGCGAGCAAACCGGCTGGAAGAAGGTCTGGCGATGGCGGAGACGATGCCGGTGGATCCAAATGCGGTGACTTGGACGACGCTGCTGGGCGCTTGCGCCAAGTGGAAGAACGCGACGCTGGGGAAGATCGCGTTTGAGAGATCCAGGCAAACGCATCCCTCAAACTTCCAGTTGATGGCAAACATCTACGCTTAGGAAACTCAAGAGCCCTAATTTTCTGACAATATAAAGGTTCTTGTTTAAATGATCCATAAAAGTGAATTTAGGGCAATAGGGCAGTTAGGGTTTATCGATTCTCTCCTTTTTACTATTTAACGCGAGGTATAACAGCGGAGGGTGTTTGTTCGAGCTTCTAGGCGCTGGGAATCCCATGGCAAGGTGAGTGCTTTGGAGCTTGCTAGATCGAGGGATGGGGCGGAGGAGCCAGAAGAGCGCCATTGCGAATCGAGAAGGGGGAGCTGCCGGGGAGGAGGAGGCGACCCACAAGCCCAGGAAATCGAAATCCGGGAGGACTGGGAGCAAGGGCGGAAGGCCGAGAACTAGGGATCAGGAGGAGCCGTGTAGCTCGTCGCGGGCGGAGGCGGAGAGGGAGGCGAGGCGGCGGAGGAAGAAAATGCGCGGCACGCCCATCGGCCATTGTGTGAGCAATGCCGACGCCACTGCCACCGCCAAGATCATGAAGCAAGTCAAGTACTACCTTAACTCTATGAAGTTGGAGCAAAGCTTCATCGATGCCTACGCCAACGATGGCTGGAAGGGACAGAGGTAAGAATAAAAAAGGCTAGAACTTTCTTCTTCTTTCCTTGCTTGCCTTCCTCTCTAGAACTCATGAGTTCGTTTGTTTTCTTGCAGCCGAGAGAAAGTTCGGCCCGAGAAGGAACTCGAGAGGGCTACCGCAAAGATACTCGGCTGGAAGCTCAAAATCCGGAAGGCCGTCCAGGAGCTCGATAAGATGTGCTTGGAAGGCTCGATTCTAGACTCGGCTTTTGACGCTGATGGACAACTTGACTACCAAGAGGTATGTATCGCTTGTTCGTCCTAGTTTTAGATTCTCTTTTCCTCTGACTCTTGCAGATTTTCTGTGCCAAATGCCACTCTCACGAGGCGGAAGTGGACAATGACATTATTCTTTGCGATGGTTTTTGCAACCGAGGATTCCATCAAAAGTGCCTGAATCCACCACTAGCAACGGAGGACAGTTAAGTGTTTTCTCTTTTCTCGCAAGCGAACGCTCGTATTTAGACTCTGTGTGCAGTTCCTCCCGGTGACGAAGGCTGGATGTGCCCGATCTGCGATTGCAAGTCGGACTGCGCATCGTTTCTAAACGACCACTTAGGCACGGACTTCGATGTCGAGATGAGCTGGGAGGTGAAGTACTCCTTTCGTCTTTACTCGTTTCTCGCTAAGAGCTAGCGTTTCTTTGCCAGAAATTTTTCCCCGAGGCAGTTGAAGGTAGTAATACTATTGTAGCTGACGATGCGGTCCAGGATCTTCCATCCGAGGACTCTGACGACGATGACTATGATCCGGATAACAAAGATAAGGAACAGGAAAAGCTTGCCAACGGCAAGGGAGCTAAAGCCAACGAAGCTGGGGAAGAACAGGATCAAGCAGGAGACGATGACGACGAAAACGACGATAGCAGTGGCGATGACTCCGGGGGTGGTGATGACTCCGACTCCGACGATGGAACGACCGACTTATCCGGCGAGGAGCCTCTCTCGGCTGCGGAGGAGGACGAGGACGAGAAAGAGAAAGAGGGAGACGAGGAAGGCGGCGGCAGCAAGAAAGACTCGGACGAAGTGTCCGGCAAGAGGCGGCGGAGAGACGTAGATTACAGAAAGCTCCACGATGTGAGTACTTCTTCTCTCCAGAAATGAAAGCCTCGCACTGTTTCGTGTGAGTGCTTTAGACAGCACGAAGCTTTTCTCGGGGATTCATTCGGGTGTGGGCCTGTAGGAGATGTTTGGAGTGGAGTACGAATGGGCCGAGGCTTTCCAGAGCGAGGACGAGGACTACGGCCCTTTGAAGAGGCCCAGGAAGCAACGAAGCGAGAGAAAAACCGATAGAAACGAGCAAAACCAAGACCACGGCGAGAACCAGGATGGTTTCAGCGATAAGTCGAAGAGAATTCCTCCGGAAGCTGTACAGGTTTGTGCTTGTTATCTCCAAGCGCTTGGCTTGTTTTCGATCGAAACTTTCCAACTTTGCAGAGATTGAGAGAAGCTTTCGACCGGGACCAGCTTCCCTCGCGGGATAGCAAGGAAGCGATCGCAAAAGAGCTGGGCCTCTCTTACAGGAAAGTAAGTTCGTGCTTCGATGTTCGTCGCTTCTTTGTTCTTGCTTAGCTCTTCTTCCACAGGTGGACGTGTGGTTTAAGAACGTAAGAACGCAAGCCTTGAAGAAGGCCAAGAGCGACGAGGCCGAGAACCAAACGCTGCTCACTCAAGTCAGCCAGGCGGAGCTCAAGCTCGAGGATTTAAAGAGAGCTATGGAGGCTGTGCGGCACTTGGAGGTGCTCAAGCTCTCGTCATACGCGCAGGGCTTCTACGAGAACTCGGTTGTGGACGTCAACCGTGGAAAGAGGCTCGTCTACATGCCAGTAGCCGAGGTTGTAGAACAAGGTGGCACCAATCCATTGTAAAATAGATAGAAACTTACATAGAGAACTCGCTAAGTTCTTTGATCTATTCTCACTTTCCTCGCTGGAAATCTACACGGCTCCTGCTGGATCCCCCCTCGTAGCTCTCTCGAGTCCCGGATCCACCGCTGGCTTTCATGGTTCCTCCTCCGCTACGATCACTCGGCTTCTTCCCGCGCTTCACTTCGCTGAGATACGAGTTGAGCCCGAATGGATCCTGGTCCTTCTCGTCCTTCTCAAACTCCACCGGCTTCTCCCTGGGAGCGCGCTGCTCGGTCGCCCCGGCGAATCCCTTGTCCGGCCGGAACCGGTCCGTCTTGAGCTTCTCCAGGTCCTCCTCGCCTCCATACATCTCCGAGTCCGCGTCCTTCTTGGGCCTGTGAAGACCACCGATGCTCGGGTGGCTCGTGAACAGCCCGGTTGTGTAGACGCTGTAAGTGTCGTCGGCCGCGAATCCAGAGTCCATGCCTTGCTCCTGGTTGAAGAGCCGCTGGTCGTAGAGAACCTGCTCGCCACCGCTCGACTTAACGTTGGCCATGCCGAGAGCAACCTTCTCGGTGATATCCCTGTCCCTGTCCCTGGTGAGCTTGCTCTTCTTCCCCCCGGCCGCATCCTTGGCCTCGAGCCGCCGCTCTCTCTCGCGCTCGCGCTTTCTGTCCATCCGGATCGCCTCCCTCTTCTGCCGCTCCGCTCTCTCCTCCCGGTCCTCCCGGTCCTCCTCTCGCTCTTCTCGCTCCTCTCGCTCCTCCTCCACTGCTACTGCTCGGCCCCCGCCCCTGTCCGGCGCCACCACCCCTGCTCTCTCCATCCGCGACTTCTGCGCCAGGGCTCGCAGCTCCTGCTCCTTCTTCTCCTTCTCCTTGAGCGTGATCTCGCGCTGGATCTTGGACCGCATCGTGACCGCCTCGCGGGCCTTCTGCTCCGCGACGTAGAGCGCCTCAGACAGCTTCGCGAAGTTGTCGTTGATCTGGACCTCCTGGAGGCCGCGGCCATCGGCGGCCAGGCGCTTGTCGAGCGGGATGGTGTATCCTTTCGGGTTCTTCCAGTTGGAGATGCACGGCGGGATCTTCCAGTCCTGCTGGTCCTTCACCGTCACAGGCCGGGGTGGCGAGTGCATCACCGGCACCGGCGGCGACCCCGACGGCTTTGGAACTCTCTTGTGCTTGAACTTTGGCGGCTCGAGTGGATCCACGGGCATCTCCACCATCTTGATAGTCCTCTCCTTAGCTCCAGAGTTAAACGCGGACGAGAGCTGCGAGGGAGTGTACTTGATGTAAGACGGCCCGGAGCTCGCCGATGGAACGTTCTTGGGCTGCGCGGCCGCCAGCCTCTCGTGGACGATCTTCTCCAGCGCCATCTTCGTCCTCTCGGTTGTCTCCTTGATCTCATCCTCGCCCGGCTTGGCCGAGGGAACCTCGCTGGGGAGCTTGGGGACAAGATCCCTGTGCTGGGTGTAGACGATCTTGGAAGAATTCTCGCCCTGCTTCACCACCGCGTCATACCTCACGTTCCCCTGCGCGTCCACGGTCGTGGGCAGCACCGAATTGTTGTGCTTGTCGTGCTTCTTGCCCATCTCCAGCGGGAACTGGGCGAGATGGATCTCCGGGAAGGCGCCGCCATCGCCGAAATCCTCAACCCTCTTCGGCACGAAGCCAGAGCGCTTGCCATAGGGCGGCGGCTCCTTGTGCTTGCTCACTGCCTGCGGCCTGATTACCTCGAGACGGCTCTGGTACCACGATTGGGAGGCGACGTCGTCCACGCGCTGCTGCTCCACGGCGCTCTTCGGAGGTGGAAGGCGGCTCAGCAGCGCCATAGCCTCGATCCTTAGAACCCTAAAATTCTATAACCCTAATGAGTAATGGTCTCTTTAAATAGTCTCCAAAAAGCTTTGATTCCAAAAAATATTATTGGCACCGTTAGTCTCTACCGTTGATTCTATTTCTTGGGCTTCAATGCGATGAGTGGATCTCCATAGCCAACCGGCACTATAGAAAAAACAAAGGATTTTTTTAATCTCGAATCGAATCGAATAGAGCTCGATATTTACCTCCGTCTTCCCAAAGAACTTTGATCACATCTCCAGACGTTTCGCTCTGCAAAACAAGTGCATAAACAAGGAAGCTCTCTAGCGGCCAAAATAAAAAAGGATTTTGCGAAGTTACCTCCACTGCTGTTTGAGTTCCAAATTGCTCCAAGTAACACACGACTTGGCCCTCCTTCACCGTCTGGCCCTGCAAAGATCAAGGCAAAGTTTTCCTCCTTTTTTCTTGTTATTCGATCGATCGGACTTACCTCTTGGCAAAGAGGTGCACCAAACTTTCCTTTCACTAAACGAGATCGTCGAAACAGACCAACCTGTGCGTTCTCAGTAAGAATCGATCGATCTAAGAAGGAGAAGATAGTAAGTAGTACCTTTGGAGCATTAACGAAGACCACTCCGGTCTCCGCGGCTGCCTTTTGGAGCTCGTCATAAGCAACAGCCTTGGACATCATCGGCGAAACTTTGGAAGTTTTCGCGGCCGGTTTTGATGGAGCAGCCGGCTTGCTAGAAACCGGTGCTGCCGCTGGTGCCGCCACTGGTGGAGCAGCGACTGACGCCGCCGGAGGAGGCTTTGGAGCAGGAACGCTTCTTCTCATGTGAAGGTTAAACGCGCCAACCTGAGAGAGACAAAGAACAAAAATTCCATTCATCGATCAAATGAATGAAGAAAGCAAGAAAGCGTTACTACCTTGACATTAAGCTCCGCGATCTTCGTCTCATCGCAAACTTCTCTGAGGAGGGTGTGGATCTACGTGAAACCAAGAGGAAAAGATTTGTTTTCTTTCAAGATCTAGAGGCAGCAAGCTTACTTCCGCAGAGGTCGGGATCACCGGCTCCAGCTCCTCGATTTCTAGAAGAAAAAGGTCAGCAAAAAAGTAGAGGAAGAAAAAGAGAAAACAAGGAAAAAAGAGGTCCAATTTTTTGTCTTGACTTACTCGTCGCGACACAAAAGACTCGCTGGCTCCTCCGTGCCCAGCATTGCCTCACGGAGACTCTAGAAATGCTGATAATGGCGCTGGATCCATACGAAACCTGGCATGCGTCCAGTGACGAGCTCGCGGGCGAGAATTGAGCTTGCAACACTGCATTTGGGCGGACCAGAGGAGCAACATTAGAGATCGAGAGCAAGATCAGAGAAACTCACAGGACGACGCGGCCATCTCTAAGCGTTCCCCCACTTTCCCGAGCAAGCACAACGATCTAGGGCTTTAAGGGCTTTAGTAACCAGCGATCATTCCAATGCAGGGAACCGACGGCCCTGGCCACGCCACGTGGCATTGTTCAAATTGATCATTAACTGTTTACTTGAGAGGTTTAGCGTTAACTAATGAAAATGGGCATTTGGTCTAGTGGTATGATTCTCGCTTAGGGTGCGAGAGGTCCCGAGTTCAATTCTCGGAATGCCCCAAGATCATCCATTTTTTCATTTTGACAAAACAAAGCAAGTTATTTCCAGTCCGCCACCTTTCTCTTCTCAAGCACATAGCAAATCTATCAAGCGCCACCAATTTTCTTGAGCGCCTCACAGACGTGCCGCATCTTTGGCCGCTGCTCCGACGCCAGCGCCACGCAGCTCAACGCAATCCGCAAGAACTCGGACACGTCCCTCTGCTGTGGAGCAATGCCGTGCATGAGCGTCGGATCCAGCAGCTCAAACACCGGCCTCTTCCCCTCCCACATCTTGTGCGCCCATTCCACCAGCGGCATCGTCTCGCTCGCGGCGGTACCGGCGGTATTAGCCGCGGTGCCGCCGGCGGCAGCGGTGGTGGTGGGCGTCGCCGCCTTGGATCCCGTCGTCGGCGTCGGCGTCGGCGTCGATGGCGTCCTTGGCGTCGACGGAGTGGCCGCCGGCGTCGTGGGTGGCGTCGTGGGCGCGGTCGTGGGCGTTGTCGATGGCGGCGTCGTGGATCCATTCGAGCTTCCAACATTCGTGGAGGACGCCGCCACCATTTGCTGCTGGATCAAGTGCTGCTGGAATTGCAGCTGCCACTGCTGGAGCTCCTGCTGCTTGAGGTGCTGCGTCGCGCTCTTGCCGGTGATGAGCTCCAGCATCACCAGCCCAAACGAGTAGACGTCCCACTTTTGCGTCGGCTTGGAGCTCGCGAGCCGTGCCTCGGGTGGCCGGTAAGCCTCCGTCTCCAGGTGCCCGGCTCGAAACTCGCTGTAGTCCGCCTCCACGGACACGCCCGAGTTGAGACCCGTGCCGCCGGCGGCACCCAGGACTACCGCGGCGGTAGCCAGCGACGCCGACGTGTTTGCGTTGCGGCTGCCCGACCTCGAGTTCTCTGCGCTGCCCGAGATGGTGATGAGCCGGCTCAGCCCAAAGTCGGAGATGAAGGCGTCCATGTTGGAGCTCAGGAGGATGTTCTTGGGGCGGATGTCGCCGTGGATGTATTTCTTGGGCCCGCATTCGTGGATGTGAGCCAAGCCCTCGGAAACCCTCCTCGCGATTCTCACTCGCTCCGCCCACGTCAAGGATGTGAGCGAGTAGGGAGCAATCTGGCCTGAAAGAAATCATATCGCGCGGTATCAGAAGCCATCACAAGTAATGCCGCGCGGCAAGCTTTGATCCATAACTATACCGCGCGGCACCAACAGGCAAGAAGGGAGAGGAAGGGTCTCTTACCGTGGAGCGCGGTGGCGAGGCTACCATTGGGAATGTAGTCGTAGACGAGGAGCTTCTCATCGGGGCCGCTGTAGTAGGCTCGCAGCTTGACGATGCAAGGGTGACGGATGCGCCCAAGGATCTGGACCTCGGTGTCGAAGAGCTTCTGCTTGCGCGGTACGCCGGCCGCGCCGCCGCCGCTGTCCGCCGCCAGCCGGCGTACCGCCAGCGTCACGCCGCTCTCCAGGACAGCCTTGTAGACAATGCCGCCAGATCCGCCTTTGCTGATGACATAGGCCGAGGCGCGGAGAAGATCCTCGAGGTCGAACGTAAGGCGATCGTTGCGATCGTTCTCGAACAGCACCAGCTCGCCCTCGGTGCCGGATTCATCCCCGAGCCAGTCGGATCCATCGCCGCAGCAGCAGCAGCAGATGCCCCAGAGGCAGCAGTGATCCGGAGGCTCGCTGCTGCCACTGGAATCGCCTCCAGGAGATCGAGCTCCACGATTCTTGTGCCGCAGCTTCAAGTAGCGGCAAATCCTGTTCCTCCGGAAGCAGTAGATGAAAACCAGACCCAGGAGAACGATCCCCACGGCATCCCCCACCACAATGGCAAGAATCTCCTTGACGCTCAGCCCTTGCCCCTTGCTCTTGGCCGCCCTGCTGTTCTTGCCGTTCGCTGCCGACGGTACCGCACGGTGAGACGCCCGCGGCGCCGGCGCGCCGCACGGACGACGCAGCGGTGCACCGCACAGACCGGCATTGCCGTTGAACGCCGCGCGCGGCACACCGTGGAGCTCACGCGGGATCGGACCGCTGAGATTGTTCCGCGAAAGATCCAGGCTGGCGGTACTTAGATTCTGGGGTATATGCCCCGAGAGGATATTCCCGGAGAGATTGAGATGCTCGAGCTCCTTCGTCCCGCCCAGGCCCGGAGGAATCGCGCCCTCGAGGAGATTGTTGCTGAGATCAATGTACTCCAGATTCACGAGTGCGGCGAGGTCGCGAGGGAGAGCCCCGGACAGGCGATTGTTGCCGAGGATCATCTTGTGGAGAGTCTGTATGCGCGTGATTTCTTGAGGGATCCCGCCCGAGAAGCTGTTGTTGCGGAGATTGATCCGCTGGAGCTGCGACAGCGCCTGGAGATCCCTGGGAATGGAACCGGAGAGAGATTTGTCCGGGAGATTGATACCCACGACCCGGTGCTCGTGCTCAATCGTGCTGCACAGGACCCCATTCCAGCGGCAGTGGAGGGCGTCGCTGGGATCCCATTCGCCCAGCGTGCCCAGTGGATCGCTGGAGATGGCAGCCTTGAATGCCAGGAGCGCATACCTGTCCGAGTTGTGGGCGCTAGTGGGCTGGAGTAGAAGAGCGAGCAGAATCACGGCGACCCAGCATTCCATCCCCAAGTTAGCCGCCATAGCCAGGAAGAACACGAGCTTGCTGTCATTCTTCCGAGAACTCCGGAGGGCCCGAGGAAGAAGAACACATGATAGAAGCAATGGATTTAAGAGGAAGACAAGCCAGGGATTGGATGAGGGATGTGTATATCCCTTGGAAGTCAAGCACCACTTTCCAGGATCGATCTAGAGGGAGCCCAGAGAACTTTTCTCACTTAAAAAACCAGGGAACTTGACTTGGAAGAAAGAAGAGAATGACGAATTTCTTGGAAGAACAACCAAAACAACCTTGGAAGACGAAGAAGAATCGATCTCGATGTCGCGCAATTGTTGTTGCTGTTCGTGTGTTGGTGGCAGCCTACCCCTGAATGCGACAATCTCTGGCACCCCCACGCAGCTTTTTGCAGTGACAGAACACACACCCTGCTAAGTTAGATAGATCTCGCCCCTTTGCTTGGCAATTTAGGATGGATCGATCTATCTCTCGGTCGATCGATCGCGTCGCCGGCAAACCAACAGCAGCAGCAGCAGTGAGCCCACTTGGATCTGGCAGGATCCCAATTGCCAGCTCAAAGCAATCCAAATTGTGATCGAGCAGCATAAAAACAAGAGTCCCCCCTGTCAAAATCGCGGAGTTTTCTTTTCGATGATCATGTGATCATACCAAATGCCGCTGGAGGGCATTTGCCTAGTCGGGATTTTTTTATCATCTGTATGATTGACTGCCGGTTTTAGTTCTCCTCCGTGACGTCGATGCGCACCAGCAAGCATGTTGAGAACATTCTTGATTGATCAAATCATGGCTAAAAACTATTGCAAATTCAGGACTCCGGGGGATCTAGCTACCAACGATGTTCTTATTGTAAATTTTACCGTAGTGATCGAAAAGCTATCTATCCATCCTTCCTAGACCTGTATGGACGAAATATCACAAAACAAGGCCACAAGAACAAGACAATGATTGCGCGCTTACATTGAAACCCTCCTCTCGCAGGCACCGGAGATGGACATCGATCCACTTGCCGCAAGCGTCCTCGCCGTGCTCGGCAATGCATTCGTCCCGCAATTTCTTGGTATCAGGGCAAGCGCAGCAAATCTTCTTTTTTGGAGCCGCCGCTCCAGCTCCGCCCGATCCAGCTGCCGCCGCCGGAGCCGCTGCTCCAGCTGCTGGCTCCGCCAGCGCTCCCGGCGATCGCTCAACTATCTCCTGCTTCATCTTGCCCTAATTTCCCAAGGGTATAACGTTGGTACATTCTTTAGTTCCCAAGGTATATTCGTTGCCCTAAAACCCAAAAACCCTATCCCACGAGCCGGAGCATAAAATCGTGCCACCATTTCTTTAAGAAGGGCGAGGAGGGCTCTTTACACTTACCCGTCCCTGCCGAGGGTGAGGCGACAGGTTTATGACCGTATGGGATGACCTGTCGTGCTGACTTTTTTGTATGGACACATCGTATGTGGGAATCACAGCAGTCTTTTACTTGAAAGGCTGCTTCTCACTAATTTTTGGAGCCTCGTAATGGGGCACACAAAAATCTCCACTACAAAACCCTAACGTGCCACGTCACATTTTTCTAAATTGCCACGTCTTCACTCGTTAATGTTGATGTTCCTCAGGAGCACGTATGGATCGGAGGTTCCCGGATCGAGTCTCTCGGCAGCCCGAGCCGCCAGCGTGGCCTCGCTGTGGATCTGGCACGAGCCAACGATGGAGCGCCACGTGGCGGGATCCGGCGGGAAGGGCATCCCGTCCGCCAGCTCCTGGGCCTCGGCGAGCTTGCCCGCGCGGCCCAGGATGTCGACCATGCACACGTAGTGCTCCGGAATGGGGGTGATCCAATGGTCGCGGATCATCGAGAAGAAGTAATCCCTGGCCATGTCTAGCAGACCCAAGTGGCTGCAAGCCGTGAGCGTTGCCACAAACACCACATCATTTGCTCCAATCCCAAAGCCTTGCATTTCGTGAAATAGTGATATCGCCTCCGCGGCATGCCCTTCCAGAGCATACGCCCCAATCAATGTGTTCCAGGACACAAGGCCTGGCTCTGGCATCTTTTCAAAGATCCCCCTGGCATCAAAAAGATGCCCGTTCCTGGCATATGCCGCGAGAAGATTGTTCCACGCCCAAACATCGTGTCTGGGCATGGCATCGAACACAATCTTCGCCGTTTTGGTTTGGCCGACGTGTCCGTACGTTGCGGCCAGCGACGTCCACGCGGATATCCCCCGCCCGGTGAGAAGATTAAACATAATCTGGCTCTCCTCTACGTGACCAGCCCGGGCATATGCTTGGAACAATGCATTATACGGCACGAACTCAAAGTACGGCATTCGCTCCAGCAGAATCTTTGCCTCTGTGAGGCATCCGTGCAAGGAATATCCCACCACCATGGCGTTCCAAGACAGAAGCTCTCGCTTTGGGACCGAATCAAACAGGGACTTTGCGCGAGAGAAATCCCCTCGCACGGCATTTGCAGTGATTGTGGTGTTCCAAGTTACCACGTCCCGCTCGGGAATCTTCTCAAACACCTGTTGGGCGAGAGCCAAGTGCCCGGCCATTCCGTACGCCGTGAGAACACAGTTCCACGATACTAGCGTCCTCTCGGGCATCTCATCGAAGACCATCTTCGAGGCCGCGGCGTCCTCGTTGTGTGGAATCAAGGCATTCCAGGAGGCAACGTTCCACTGCGGCATTCGATCAAAGACCTCGCCACTCTCGCGGGCCTGCCCCTCCTGCGCGTACCCAGTGAGGAGCGCGTTCCAGGATCCCAGATTTCTTTCAGGGATTCGCGCGAAGAACTCTCTCGCTTCGCCCGGCAATCCACTCGCGGCAAACGTCCCAATGACGCTGTTCCATGTCACGAGATTGTGCGCGGGCATTCGCTGGAACATTGCCAGCGAGCCGTGGATTTGCCCAGCCTCGGCAATTGCTGCGACCATCGTCGTCCAGGACGCCACATCCTTGATCCTCATCGCGTGGAACGCAACCTCGGCGCCGCGGAGATCGCCCGCCGCGATGTGAGCATTGAGCATCGCATTGGAGGCAAACACATCCGGATCCTCCATCTCGTCGAAGATCTTCCTGGCACGACCGACATGCCCATGCCGGGAATACGCCGTGAGGATGGTGTTGATCGAGAACTCGTTGCGCTGCGGCATCCGGTCGAAGAGATCCGCCGCGCGATCCAGCCTCTCCCCGATCGCCAGCGCCCCCAGCATGATGTTCCATGAGAACTGGTTCCTGCCCTGGATTCCATCGAAGATTTCCTGCGCGGTCTCGAGGCTCCCGCACATCCCATACATCCGCACGAGGAGATTCGAGAGATAGACACTGCGGCGGAGCTCCGGAGAGCACCAGATCTGTGCGTGGAGAAGCCTGCCCTGGTGGAGATCCTGGGCGGAGGCGCAGTGCTGGAGGAGACGGCCCCATGAGCGAAGATTAGGGCACTCCAGTGTCAGCCCAGAAAGAGTACGGAGCTGGCGGACATAGCTATTTGGCCATCGTGGCGGATAAATCCATCGTGTCAAGAACCCTAAAAAGCAGCGGCGGCCGCGCGAGAAAGATCCCGAGGTATGTCTTTCGATCCCACATTTTGGGTCTGCAAGACCAAATCTCGCCCGCATTCAGTCCAGATCTCGCGATTTTCTGTTTTTTTTTTTGCTCAAATTGTAGCTAGCATTTCATTAGCTCTGAGCTTCTCGCGAATGAGTTCTTCGCATTTCTCAACTAGTTTCTTTCAGTTCTTCGCCCTCTTTTCATCCGTTTTGATGTAGATTTCCAGATTCTCGGTTGTTCTTAGAAGACTTCTTCGTGACAGCTCTAGTCATATTCGTATCAGCTTCTTGTTCTAAAGATTTCGTCAAGTGTTCTTCGCCTGACTTCCTTCGTCCTTCGATTTCGTCACAGAGACGAGCTTGTTTGATGGCAACCAGCGCGCAGCTTCCAGCGGACGAACACATGACTCGCGAGGACCACCGCTGCTCCCCGCCGCGAGCCGCGAACCACGCGCACCTCAAGAACCTCAAGAAGGGCGTGGAGCGCAAGGACCGCCACCCTTCCACCGGGATCAATCCCTCGCCTAAGAAATCTGGCCGCGGGGGGCGATTCACCTGGGAGGGCTCCTCCCACGCCGACGACTACGCCGCCAGTTACGATGACAACAACGCGCTGGACAAGAACGATCCAAACTACGTCGACGAGGAGGAGGAAGAAATCCATGCCGCGGCCGAGATCGAGGGGAAAAAGGAGTGCGCAGACGCTCCTCCCAAAGCTGCTCCAGATGCTACCACTACCACTGTTGCTGCCACAGCCTGACGATCAAGATCAAGTCAATAACTAGCAGCAAGTCTCGGACAAATCATGTAAATAGAAGATCAAAGCATTCTCGAACTAAAGGGTTTGATGCTTCTTGGTTGTAAAGATTGTAACAAGTCTGTAGAGTTTAAGATCTATGGTGCAATTGCCACTGATCAGGTGGCCATGGCCAACAGCCCCGAGACAAATGCGATAGTTAGCGTTTAGGGGTTAAACTCGGGGTTAAACTCGGTGATGATGCGAGATACACGTAGAGAAAAGAAGAGATAAAAGATAAAACTAACAGGATCATGGCACTTCATAGATATGGCTCTGGATTTAACGACATGAAAGACGTGACAGCAATCGACTTAAAGTATTTCCTCAGGCTGGATTATAGTCTTGCTAGAGAGGTGGACCTTTGGCCAGAGTTACCGAGTTGCTTCAGGTTAAGTTTTTTCTTGTCTAAAAGTTCTTGAATCAAAATTGATACAACAGGGAAGTGATGAAAGAGTACCATGACCAGGTCTCAGCCTTTGGACACTGCTTGCTCGACAATATTTCCAAGGGCCTTGGCCTGGATAATAGTTACGATCCTAACGTAATGGGCGAGAAGATCATATGCATCATGAACTACTATCTTCCATACCACACACCGGAGCTCGTCAATTAGAGGTAAATTTCCTTTTTTCTCAATACCAATCTAAGTTTCCAGATAATGACGAATGCAAAAATATAAGAGCGCCGAGCACCGAGTTCGAGCACACCCTGAGAAGTCGCGATTGTCCGTGGTTGCGTTTTTTGGGCCTGGAATGGACACAGTGGTCGGTCCCCTGCCAGAGATGGTAACCGAAGAAAATCCTCCTCTATACAGGGAATGCGTTCCAAGCCGCTCGATGGCAAGAGGTGCTTGCACTATGTTAAAGTAGATCATGGCGCTGAAGTTTGAGAAGAACAATGCATGAACGTGTAATAATTTGTCTTCTCTGAAGTTGGAGTTTGTGTGAGAAAAATAAAGACCTTGTGTGCTCTACATGCATATAATAATACATGGTTTTGGGGTTTTCTAGCGCCCATGTAAAGGCACAAGACCTCTTGGATGGAACAAGAGGGATCATCTCTAATAATCTACCTCCTACACTACCTCTTTGCCCACCTCTCTTACATATTGTTCTAAAACATTTGGTGGTGAATTGCTATGTGAACGATGCCATATTTTGCGATGTACAGGTTTAAAAGTGGAAGTGTGCTTTCCTGGTGAAACTTTTCTCCATAAAAGCTACCCCAGCTCTTGCGAAGTTCCCGGGTGGCACCCCAGCAGCGGCACTCCTTTCGAAGAAGTAAACAATGTGAAGTCCATCTTATGTATGTAAGTCAGGATGGCCGAGCTGGTCTAAGGCGCTAGTTTCAGGTACTAGTCCGCAAGGGCATGGGTTCGAATCCCATTCCTGACAGTATACATTTTTCAAGCTCAAACTCCTGCGCTGGAGCCTCTGGAACTTGGGCTTGAACTTGAACCTCCGTGTGGTCATTTTAGATTCCGCCAAAAAACTTCGGTACTTCAGTTTAAGAATAATCGTTGTTAAGTCTTGAGCTTCCTCGTCTTTGGACGAGTTCGACGAAAATGTTCTCTTCTGTTTATTTATTTATTGTGACGCCACTTTCGCGACTCCCTCTTAAACACATCCTCAAATTTTTTCACTACGGTGTGGGAGAAGAGAATCATCTCCAAGATCTTAAAGAAGGATGTGCAAGATAGATTTCAAGAAAGAGCTTGCGAATCTTGATGATTTTCAAGTTCCTATAATTGATTTCTCTGGTGATCCCATGTATATAGAAGATGCTATAGCTTCAGCTTGCCAGGAATGGGGATTTTTCCAGGAGGGGAAATGGTTATTCGTTTTATCTCTTCGTGTTCTGGCAATAAATCACGGGGTTCCAATTGTTAGTATGCAAAATGTCCTCGATTTAGCCAAAGAGATTTTCAATCAGCCATCAGAGGAGTACAATTTCCTGGGGAATAAACTCAGTGATAATGATCCTTCTAAAGCATACAGGTAGAGAAAAGAAAAGATAAAACTAACAATATCATGGCTTTGCAATAGATATGGCCCTGGATTGAACAGCAGGAGAGACACGAAAGCAATCGACTTAAAGTATTACCTCATGCTGGACTATAGTCTTGCTCGAGAGGTGGACCTTTGGCCAGAGTCACGGAGGTAGGAAAGTTTGGAGATAACATGAGAGCATATTTCTTCCTGTTTATAACAATGCCGTGCAAACAGTCTTCCTACACAAACTTCCAACTTCTTTGAAGACAAATTGTTATATGCTCGCTTTAGTTTTGCATAGAGCTGGGTCAAATAGTCTTTGGTGACGCATTCCCTGTAGAGAGGAGGATTTTCCTCGCTTACCATCTCGGGCAGGGGACCAACCACTAAAGAAAACCACCACGAGTCGCGACTTCTCTGGGTGTGCTCGGACTCGGTGCTCGGCGCTCTTATACTTTGCATTCGCTTAGCAATGTTATTGGGAGAAAAAGAACGAAACCTACCTGTAATTGATCAGCAATGTTGACAACAAAGGCGTCTTTCACTGGCTCTACCGCAAACCAGCGACCATCTTTGCAAACTTCCAATCCCCCCGTCGTCTTGGAGGAGGATGCTCATGGCACGGGCCTTGACGAGCTCGGGTTTGTGGTATGGAAGGCAGTAATTCATGAACTTGGTAAAATCGTAAATATTCTCCAAGCCAAGGCCTTTGGAGATAATATCAAGCAAGCAGTGTCCAAAGGCTGAAACCTGGTCGTGGTACTCTTTCATCACTTCCCTTCGATTTTGGTTCAAGAACGTTTAGTCCAGAAAAAACTTTTTAGAAGAACTAACATATGCGAGATCGATATTTATCATGACGAGAGAAATTTCTTGTGTAAATAAATCCATAAAACTTTGGGCTTTAAGACAGTCCATTTCCTCTTGTGAAATATCTGCTACTGGCAAAAGAGTTTGTAGAGCAGGGTATTTGTGTAATTTCGCTATGAGACATCATTTCTTTCGTGTATAACTGATCATCACATCTATTGTCTCGAGACTCATGTCGATAAAGGTCTAATTAAAGAAAATATATGCTTGGAATATACTAAGGGCGGTTGTTACTTGCTTCCTTTTTGAAATATCCACCTGTTTTCATGTATGAACTTTTTTCTTAATAAATTCTATTATCTGCTGTTTTGGCAGCGCTTAACACCTTTGAATTTGATGCTTCTCCCACTGATCAGGTGGGGATCCACAAAGCCTAGTTAGCCTAACCGCACTACTGATCTAACCTAACCCGAGTTAGTGCTAGTTATATACCTTTTTTTGTGGCATAATCCCGAGCTTTGGCATGTGGGATAATATAAAATACGAATACGCGAATATTCCAGTGGCTTTATTTGGGGAATTGCGAGATTCGAACTCCCGACCTCATGCACTGGTACTTGAGGGTTTATTTGTCGGACCGATGACAACGATGGGAGTGACCTCACTCTTGTAGATCAATGCGCAAAGCCATGGCGCTCTCTTCGTCCATCGCGCTCTGCCTAGCCCTGTGGATGATCGCCGCCGTGTCTCGGGAATACAGAGTCTTGTCCGTGATCGAGCAGGCCAATGCCGGCGGCGGGAGCGCGATCCTGGTGGAGATCGCGGACAGGATCGACGATTTCGGCCCCGACATTGGGCGCCTTCTCATCAGCGTCAGGTGATTTTCGATCCATCGGTTGCTTTCTTGGAGATTGGTTGATTTTCCCCCTTCTTTCTTGAATTTCCCAGCTATGAGACCGACGAGCGCTTGCATCTGATGATCACGGACGCCGATAGCCCTCGCTGGGAGATCCCATTCCAGCTGATACCGCGATCGATGGACGGCAACAGCAGCAGCGCCAGATTTTCCCAGGAAGTTCGCAAGATCACGTCGCCCAAGCTCCAGCTCTCCTACACGGTGAATCCATTCAGCTTTACGGTCACTCGGGTCTCGAACGGGGAAATTCTCTTCGACTCGCCATCGTCGTCGAGTTTCGTGTTTAAAGATCAATATCTAGAGATATCAACGAGGATTCCAGCCCAGGCAGCGCTCTATGGGCTCGGGGAGAGCACTCGCAGCGATGGCTTTCGGATTCTTCCAAACTCGACTTACACACTCTGGGCAGCTGATACAGGTGCCGACAACACGGACGTAAATCTATATGGATCGCATCCTTTCTATATGGACGTGAGAAGCGGAGGACAAGCTTATGGTGTTCTTCTTCTCAACAGCAATGGCATGGACGTGAACTATGAGGGAGAGTTTTTGACGTACAAAGTTCTTGGAGGTGTGTTTGATTTCTATTTCTTCGCTGGGCCGTCTCCCCTCTCCGTCGTCCAGCAGTACACAGCACTTGTTGGAAAACCAGCAGCGATGCCATATTGGTCGCTCGGTAAGCTCTCCAGTTTTTTCCTTCGATCACTTTGATCACCATCTTGATCTTGCAGGATTCCACCAGTGTCGATGGGGATACAAGAACGTATCTCAGGTCGAGCATGTTGTTGCCGAGTACAAGAAGGCGAATTTGCCTCTGGAAGTTATGTGGAACGATATAGATCACATGGACGTGTATAAGGACTTCACTCTGGATCCTGTAAATTATCCTGCTGAACAGCTGCGAGCGTTTGTGGAGAAACTCCACAAGAACGGCCAACGATATGTTCTTATTGTAGATCCTGGTAAGTTGCTTGTCTCACGCTTAAATTTGTTGATAGATCTTCCTTTTGACAGGACTCAAACCGGAGAAAAATTACGAGACTTACAGACGGGCCAAGGAAATGGATGTTTTTATCAAGGACGTGCAAGGCAAACCATATCTCGGTCAGGTTTGGCCCGGGCCTGTGCATTTCCCGGACTTCCTCCATCCAAGAGCTCTAGAGTTTTGGACAGGAGAGGTCTCCAGATTTCACAAGGAGGTTCCATTTGATGGTCTCTGGATTGATATGAACGAGGCCTCAAATTTTTGCCAGGGAGTTACGTGCACCTTACCAGCCAACGTTACGTGTCCGATCCCCGGTTCCTTCACTCAGTGCTGCCTGGTTTGCAGCAACGACCTCGCTACAAAGTGGGACAATCCACCTTACGCCATCAACAATGCTGGCACTCACAGAAGCCTGGGTGGAAAGACTATACCGACGAGCGCTACGCACTACAATGGGACTTTAGAGTACAACGCTCACAATCTCTACGGGCTTGCTGAGGCCATCGTGATCAACAGTGCTCTCAAGACAGTCGTGAAGAAGAGGCCGTTCGTGCTCTCGAGGTCCACCTTTGCTGGAAGTGGCCGAGTCACTGCTCACTGGCTGGGTGATAACCGGGCGTCTTGGAACGACTTGAAGTACTCCATCTCCGGCATCTTAGGCGCGGGGCTGGCTGGAATTCCCATGGTGGGAGCGGACATCTGTGGCTTCTCAGGCAACACTACCGAGGAGCTTTGCAACCGGTGGATACAGTTGGGAGCATTCTATCCGTTCTCGAGGGACCACAACGATTTTTTCAGCAGTCCACAGGAGCTCTTTGTGTGGAAGTCAGTGACTCGATCGGCAAGGAAGGCACTGGAGCTTCGCTACAAGCTCCTCCCATACTTGTACACTCTTTCCTTCGAGGCACACACACTGGGCTCGCCGGTAGCAAGGCCGCTGTTCTTCACGTTTCCAAACGATCGGGCCACCCTCGACATTGACAAGCAGTTCCTTCTCGGCCGCGGCGTTCTCATCTCTCCAGTGTTAACTCCCAACGCCACCACCGTCAAGGCATACTTTCCTCAAGGCACTTGGTACAGCCTCTTCGACTACACGAAGTACGTGACATCTCCCTCGGGGTCTTACCAGCAGCTGGACGCTCCCTGGGACACGATCAACGTTCACGTCCACGAAGGCTCTATCATCCCCATGCAAGAGTTCGCGCTGACAACAAGGCTGGCTCGCAAGACTCCCTTCACTCTGGTGGTGGCCTTCTCTTCCACGGACAGCGAGAATTCGACGGCGTCGGGAGAGCTTTTCCTGGACGACGACGACGCGCTGGAGATGAAATTGGCAGAAGGAAAGTCGAGCTTCATTAAATTCGCGGCTTCCTCGAGTGGATCAAGTGGCGGGAAAGTGTTAGTGAAAGCGTCCGTGGCGCACGGAGACTTTGTGAAACGCCAAAGCCTCGAGCTCCACAGGGTGGTGGTTCTAGGTGGAAGACAGAGTACGAGCCAACCACGAAAGGTGCTCGTCAATGGGAAAAATCCATCCGAGAGCGTCACAGCAAAAGTGTTTCAAACTGGAGTGGAGATTTCTGGACTTTCTCTGCCGCTAGGCAGCGATTTCCAGCTCTCCCTCGAATTATGACAGAGGGACTTTTGGCAAAAGCTTTGCGACAACGATGTTGTACGAAGTTCTAGACTTTCAACCAAAAGAAAGATAGACAATGACTATGAGATCACGAACGATGTTGTACGGAGTTCTAGACTTTCAACCAAAAGAAAGATAGACAATGACTATGAGATCACGAACGATGTTGTACGGAGTTCTAGACTTTCAACCAAAAAGATGACTCTGAGATCACGGATTCTATCACGTAGAAACTTTGGTGATAAATATATAAGTTTCTTGATCTTCGAGAGGCTCAACAGCGGCCATGGTTCGTAGTTTGCTCCTCTTCTTGTGGCTCTTAATTCTCTCGCGATGCTCGCTCGCTGGCTATAAGATCAAGTCCATCACCCAAGACACGAATGGCAACATCGATGCTCGTCTAGACCTCCTCTCACCGACAAGCACATATGGTCCTGATATCAAAGAGCTCCAACTCACCGTAAGGTACGTCAATCGTTCTCTTTCTTTCGCCATCTCCTCCACGAACTCAAACTCTCCATTGTCCATTGTCCAGCTACGAATCCCAAGACCGGCTGCGAGTTCACATCACCGACTCCTCGTCCCCGCGGTGGGAAGTTCCAGCCTCGCTCGTGCCAAGGCTACCACCCACGAAGAACGGCAGCGCTAGCGTTTCCAAGCTCCAGTTCTCGTACACCCGGGACCCCTTCACGTTTGCAATCCTCCGGAGATCATCCCAGGAGCTCCTCTTCAGCTCCACCCCGGGCCTCACTTTCAAGGACCAGTACCTGGAGATCTCCACCACGCTCCCGAGCAATGCGTCGCTCTACGGCCTCGGGGAGAGCACTCGTACCGCGGGCTTCCGGCTCGTCCCGGACTCCACGTACACGCTGTGGGCCTCGGACACCCCTTCGCGAGAGACCAACAAGAACCTGTACGCCTCCTGGCCCTTCTACCTGGATGCCCGCCTCTCCGGGGACTCCCACGGAGTCTTCTTGCTCAACAGCAACGCCATGGACGTGGAGCTTGCGGAGGAGAGGCTCACGTACAAAGCCGTGGGTGGTGTCCTCGACTTTAGCTTCTTCGCGGGGCCGTCGCCATTGGAAGTCGTCCAGCAGCTCACTGATATGGTCGGGAAGCCCGCTCCAATGCCTTACTGGTCTCTAGGCAAGTCCTCCTTGGTCTCGGCTGGAAGTGTTCCTTCAAAGCTTTTCTTCCTTTGCAGGCTTCCACCAGTGTCGATACGGCTATAAGAACGTCGAGGAGCTTCAGGACGTGGTCGAGAAGTACAAGTCTGCGCGCATTCCTCTCGAGGTGATGTGGTCGGACATAGATTACATGGACGCCTTCAAGGACTTCACGCTGGATCCCATCAACTATCCCCAGTCGAAGATGGACGATTTTGTCAAGCAGCTCCATGCCAACGACCAGAAGTACGTGATCATCATAGACCCCGGTGAGCTCTCCCTTCCGTGACCTTCTTTCTTGCATCCGCCAGCTTACAGCAGTTTCTTGCCAGGGATCAAAGTCGAGAGGAACTATTCGTCATACGAGCGTGCAAAAGCTCTCGAGATCTTTGTCAAAGACTTGCACGGCGAGCCATATCTCGCTCAAGTGTGGCCGGGGCCTGTTCACTTCCCAGACTTCCTCCACCCGAAAACAGCCTCTTACTGGACAAGCGAGATTTCCAACTTTCACAAAATCCTCCCCTTCGACGGCCTCTGGATCGACATGAACGAAGCCTCCAACTTTTGCACGGGCGTGAGCTGCTTGCTTCCTCCGAACGTGACAAAGCCTTGCCTCACAACATGCTGCTTGATCTGTACCGAGAACTCCATATCCAAGTGGGACAATCCACCTTTTGCGGTAAATAACAACGCTGTCCGCAATAGAATCGGCTCCAAAACCATGGCTGCCAGTGCCGCCCACCACGGAGGAGTTCTCGAGTATGATGCTCACAACTTGTACGGGCTCTCGGAAGCGATAGCCACCAGCAGCGCTCTCAAGTCTGTCTTGAAAACCCGGCCCTTCATGCTCTCGAGGTCGACGTTCGTTGGCTCTGGCCGCGTCACTGCGCACTGGAGCGGTGACAATGGAGCAACCTGGGACGATCTACGATACTCCATTGTCAGCGTTCTCAACTCTGGCCTGGTTGGAATACCAATGGTTGGCGCGGACATCTGTGGATTCCTGGGTAACACCACTGAGGAGCTTTGCAACCGCTGGATCCAAGCCGGAGCCTTCTATCCCTTCTCCCGGAACCACAACGGATTCAATGCAGTGTCACAGGAGCTCTATCTCTGGAAGTCCGTCACCCAGTCCGCAAGAACAGTTCTGTCACTGAGATACCGGCTCCTTCCTCATCTCTACACGCTCTTTTACGAGGCCTGCTCGAAAGGATCACCAGTTGCCAGGCCTGTCTTCTTCGCATTTCCCAAGGATCCGGCAGCTCTTGGTGTTGAAACTCAGTTCATGCTCGGGAGTTCCATTCTTGTCTCCCCTGTTCTCGTAGAAGGCGCGAGGGATCTCCAAGCTTACTTTCCCAAAGGAAACTGGTATAGCTTGTTCAATTACTCGCAAGTTATTCTGTCGCCGGGATCAACTTTCATACTTCCGGCCCCGCTGGATTCGACGAACGTCCACGTTCGAGGAGGCTCGATACTTGCCATGCAGGATGCTGCCATGACTACTGCTGCTGCGAGAAAGACAGCCTTCACGCTGCTAGTCGCTTTTCCCGGCGAGGAAGAGGATGACAAGCTAAATGCTTCGGGCAGCGTGTTCCTGGACAGTGGCGAGGACCTTGAGATGAAACTTGAGCAAGGGTCGGCTACTCTCGTTGAATTTGCTGCGAAGAAAGTTGGGAACCGGCTCTCCGTCAAGTCTAGAGTGAGTTACGGCGAGTTTGCTCTCCAGCAGAAGTGGATCATCAGCAAGGTTGTAGTGCTGGGGCTCGGCAGTTTTGCGTTGGAGAAACAGCAGCAGGAACTCGTAAACGGAAAGACTCTGTTGCCTCAATCAGCGGACCATGTCGAAGAAGTTAACGAGCTCAACTTGCCTCTGGGAAAACCTTTTCATATCTCGCTGAAGATGGCCTCATATCAGTAACTGGTCCTCACTGTTTACAACGAACAAGCCTTCAAGAACAGACCTGGTGAGCACTCAAAGGCCCAACAAACGGAAGAGACTCAATAACGGCATCAGCTAAGTCAGCAATAAACGTTGGTTCGCATCCGAGTGCAGGTACACGCCGCCAATTCGTAATACCGGATTCTTCAGCTAGCTCCCTATACTCCATGTCCATCTCCTCAAGCGTTTCTATGTGCTCGCTGACAAAACTAGAGGACCAGAAAGCCGTGTAAAAGAATGAAAAGGTGAAAGTATTTACCTGATTGGCACAACTAAAAGACTTTTTATGCCTCTTTCTCCCAGATCTTTGATGGTCTGATCTGTGTATGGTCTTAGCCATTCTACAGGTCCAACTCGGCTCTGGGAACAAATCAACACCATTTGAGGCAGGAAGTAGCGAAGAAGTAGCTCCTAACCTGATATGCAAGCGTGTGCTCGCAAATGACACCTTCCTGTCGTAAATCTTTCATAATGAAGTCAACGCATTCCTCCATTTCGTCCTTGTAGGGATCTCCCGCTTTCTCCACGTAAGAGACTGGCACACCGTGTGCACTAAAGAAGATATGTGCCTGCATCTAACGGTGTTATTCTCTTCGTTACCTCGGCCTCGTTACCTCTTCAGGCTTCTCGAACTTCAAAAGTTCATTCTTGATTAAGTTTGACATGGACTTCACGTATCCCTTACGATGATACCACGAAGGGATCACAGTGTGCTTCATGTTCAAAAGGTATTCGTCTCGCCTGTAATACAGTGGAAACAGCCTCATATAAACGAAAAGTATTGCCTACAAAGCGCATACCTGAAAATGCTTTCTAGCAAGCGAAGGCTAGAACCACTGGTGGAGATTGAGAATTGTGGATATAAAGGTAAAATTACAAGCCTGTTGATCCCATCGGCTTTGACCTGATATTCCTCCAGCGAAAGGTTACCAGTTTCTAGATTACTGAATATGTAGAGATAAAAGATGTACCTTATCTATAGCTTCTTCTGTGAAAGGATACCAGTACCGCATTCCAACGTAGATTTTAGCTGGCAATCCCTTCCGTTCCAATTCTTTTGCAAGAGCAGCAGCCTGTGTTACAAAAATGGGGGCGTTAAAAAGACACTAAACAAATGAAGGGCAGAAAAGTTAAACCTGCTCGTCCGTGATTTTTCTCAAGGGCGAGCCTCCACCAATAGCAGCATAACCTTCACTGCTTTTAGGCGCCCTCAGTGTTGAGATAAGTCGAGCAAGCGGCTTTTGCAGGAAACGGAAAAGTCGAGGCAGTCGAATAATGTCCTGATCAGGAAATCGTCTTTAAACGTATCACGTCGAATGGAAACACTTACCGGATCAGCAAAGAGGTTGTAAAGAAACGGCTGAACATCCTCAAGCTTATCTGGACCACCAAGATTTAGCAGCAACACGCCTAGCTTGTCTCCTGGTTCGTTGTAAACACTTGCTTGCTCCGAAGTAAGCACTCCGGGACTGCTGGTACTCGAGCAACAAACTTCTATCGATCGCCGAGAAAGGGCTAATGTCTGCTTTGGCCCGCTTGACAGCCCACACCTCCGCTGCAAATGATAGTTCGATCCAAGTCGAATGTGCTTTGGCGACGTATCAAAGAGTGGCTCGCAGCTCAGGTTATGTGATGGCGAGGGAATAGACCTGAAAGTCTTGAGTCTTGAGAAGAAAAAAATAGAAATGACTAGCTTACTTGTGAGCCAGCATCGTGACGAGCTCGAAATTTCAAATCGAGTGACGATCCCTGAAGCTCTGGCGAAAATCTAGGCGCTATTTGCGAAAGAACGGCGATTGTCAGCTCGATCGGGCCGCTAGAACACTGAAGAACATAGAAATAAGCACGAATTCGTTTCTACCTGGAGAGTGCTCGATCGGATCGGGAATACAGCGATCTTGAAGGCGATCGATCGATATTTCGCGAAGCCAGCCCTGAAATGCGGCTCTTTGAGCGGCACCGCCTTCGACCAAACTCTTCCCCACTAGTCAACACGCGGACTCTTCTCTAAACCCTACTCTAATGGTACCTTTTCTTCCAAGGCAAGTCGAATGCTAAGTACTTTAGGGCTCGTGAGGAGGAAGACGAGCAATGGCGTTCTTCCTGTAGCTAGGGCACAGGGCAAGGTTGATCGATCGAGCGAGGATGCTGGGGATTTTCAGGGCCTCCTTTTCATTCACGGCGGGCACACTGGTGGGGATTTACATTGCCCAGAACTACGATGTCCCAAACATCGAGAAGCTGTTTAGAAGCACAATGGATCGAGCCAAGGAGTATGAGGAAGCGTACCGACGGCGCGGCAGTGGCAAGGAGTGATTGATCGATCCTAAAGAGTGGTAGAGATGGTTGCTACAAATTTAAAGAATTTTCATGAAGTTTTGGATGGAGTTTTCTCCTTCCTTCCCTCTCTAGTTCCTTCTTTTGGGGTTGCTCTTGGGCTTATTCCGTGAATTCGATGCAGGGCTGTTGTAGTCATTGACAAACGCAGCTAGTAACTTTCGAGCTCCTGGTGGTTTGATCAAATCGAACGATAGCTCTCCAGTAGCTCCATCGACAATCCCAGAAGCATAAACTTGATCGTCACTCGTGACGCCTGGAAAGAAGCAGCAGGAAGAATGTAAGTATCAAGTATCTCTTTCTCGATCGATTCACTTACCTTGAGTGATCACAAATGCGATCGCCTGACAGAGGATGATCACTGCGATTGCCCTCGCATTCATCTTGGTTCTCACTCATCCCACGGCCCTCTCCTCGAATTTAAAGAACTCCCTTGTCTCGCAAAGTCAACCTCGCAAATTCATGCCATGATCAATCCTAGAATCGAGCACTCGGTGGATTCTCGCAATAGCTGGTAACCGTGTCATTGACTTCCCAAGATATTCACACTCGTGGGTCAAAGCCCGGGGATGAAAACCTCGTCCGTAACAGTTAAAAAACGTTTTTCTACCACTGATCCAATGGTGGCGATGACGAATGGCCCATGTCACGACCTCCGCCCAAAAATACTGGAAGATAAGATGAAGACAAAGGCGTTGTTTCTTCCCCAGATTATAAGCACACGTGTCAGTGGCACCTGGGTGCCACGCACGCACGCATGTGACACGAGGGCTGCCGTACGTGCGATTCGTGGCTTTTAGGGTTTAAGGGGGTCGCCAATTCGCCAGCGGTGGAAGAGCGCCAGGACAGTGGAGTAGTGGGATTTGGATTGATCGCTGGATCCATTTTGGATCGGGCGCCAGGAGGGCAAAATCTCGCTCACAGGTTTGTGTTTCGATTCATCCAGCCGCGAGGAGGTGGAAAGAATTGGCAAGAGCGAGAGGAAGAAGAAGCAAAACAAAAAAAAAAAAAAATTATCAGGCGCATCGACGGTTTTGATCGCCCTTGCATTTAGCTAGAGGCGGTTTCTTCCTCTCTCTCGCGGTGGTTTCCAAGAATCAAGATAGGTTTGGGGGAAGTTCTAGCTAGCGCTAGCGAGGATTTTGGGGAGCTGGAGCTGTGATCGATCGATAATCTACCGACAGGCGCTCTGGATCGCCAGATGATGGCTAGGGTTGGAAGAGCCGATGCGCTCGCCGCCCAGCGCGAGGGGATCTCCAGCCTGAGCAGCGTGATCAGGGATCACCGGATGGCAATGGGGAGCACCAGCCGGCGGGACAGGCTCCTGGGCGTGAATTCCTCGCTGGATTTCAATGGGAGCTCGAGCGAAGCTAGCGAATTCAAGGAGGAGGATGTCTGGGGGATTGTTCCAGCGGCGGTGGAGCGCAGCAAATCCTCGCTGAGCTTGGAGGACGTGGTGTCGGATCACCATTCCACCTCCAGCTTGGTGGGATCGTCGGGCAAGCGCGGCCTTGCGCTGGATTACTCCTCTGGAGCTCTCGGCCTCTCCTCGATCGCTCGCGGCAGCGCCACTGCGTCTTCCGGCGGTGGAGGCGGGCGAGTGACATCGGCGTCGAGGATGATCCCGCAGAGGGTGGCGGGCTCCGGTGTTGGTGGCGGCGGCGGCGGAAAGGCGGCGATCCAGCACCAATCCGCGCCAGTGAACGTCCTGGACTGGTCGAGGATCCTCGGCAGCAAGAACAAGGATCGCTCCTCCGGCAATTTTGGAGAGGATGGAACCGCTGGTGGCGTGGTCGACGATCTAGAGGACGATGAAGACGAGAATTTCTCGGTGGAGAAGCTCCCTCCTCACGAGCTCGTCGCGAGGAGTCAGACCACCACCTTCTCGGTGTTCGAGGGCGCCGGGAGGACGCTCAAAGGCCGGGATTTGAGCCGCGTGAGGAATGCCGTGCTCAAGCAAACGGGCTTCCTCTAGACCTCTTCCTCCATCGCCCAAGAACACAAGAAAAAAAAAAAAAAAAACCCGAAAACAAGAGAAGAAAACAAACAAAAAGAATTGGAGCTGTCTAGAGCTCATCGATAATTCATCATTTTTCGAGAGATCAATCTCATCAATGATTTCAATCACACAAGATTTACATTTATCCTTTCCTCGTGAAATTTGCCAATGTAATTCTTGAGTGATTCTCCATGTCAGAAGAGATTGGAACCAATTCCTTTTGGATTTCTGGCTGGCACTGGCGAAAGCAAGATCCTCCACGGAACCTCGACGAATATTCTGATTCTCGAATATGCTTGGACAGGAATATGCCCGACACGGGAAATGCGCGTGAATATGCAGGTAGCATGTTGGTGGCATATGCCGTCGGAATATTTTTGGCCGGGCTGCGTTTCCCGCCCACGATAATAGCGCGTTGTACTTTTTGGAAGAAGGTAGCGGCGTTACCTAGTTGACGGAGACCACTGTGCTGTGAGTGTAAAAGATTTTCTTCGTCTCCACAGAAGCTTCTCTCTTCTCTGCGCTTTGGCCGCCGTCGTTGACGCCCGGGCTGGGGTTTTTGGTCGCGACGCCGCGGCTTGATCCCCTTAAAGCGCGATCTCTGTGCGCTCTGGGGCGGCAAGATCCCCTTCTTGTGGATCCATCGATCGATAAATTTCCGCGCTTGCCTTGGATCGCATTGCATTGTGCTTCTTGTGCTTGATTTTGATTCGGCAATGGAGTCCCAGCTTAGAGAGCTCCGGGAATTAGAGCCCGAGGTGAAGAATGCGTCCCTTGGGATTCCACTGCGAGGAAGCTCTCGCGATGTCTATGGGGAGGATAGCGCTACCGAGGATCAGCTTGTTACTCCGTGGGTTCGAGCTGTGGCCAGGTAAAACTTTCGTAGTAGAACTTAAAAATCTTTTTGGACTAAATGATCTGTGTGAACAGCGGCTGTGAGCTCCTCCGAGATCCGCGCTACAACAAAGGCCTTGGATTTACCGAAAGGGAGAGAGACATACATTATCTTCGAGGACTTCTTCCACCGGCCTATTTCTCCCAGGATCTTCTCGAAGCTCGCGAGCTCGACAACATTCGTGGCTATGAGGATCCTTTGCAAAAATACGTTGCCATGATGGAACTCTCGGTACGTACAAGCTTTTTCCTGCTTTGCTTTTTTCCTAAACGAAAGTTGGATCTTATCACAGGAAAGGAACGAGCGATTGTTCTATAAGCTTCTCATTGATCACGTCGAAGAGCTTCTCCCCATCGTCTACACGCCGACTGTGGGCGAGGCGTGCCAAAAGTATGGATTGATTTTCCGTCGTCCACATGGCCTCTACATCAGCCTGAAAGAAAAGTATGTCTAAGATCTTAGTTTTTTATGTTATCTATGTATTGAGTTGAGACTTGGATCTTATATGTTTTTCTTTTCAGGGGTAGAGTTTTGGACGCATTGAGGAACTGGCCAGAGAAAAACGTCCAGGTTATTGTCGTTACCGATGGTGAGCGTATCCTTGGTCTCGGTGATCTTGGACTACAGGTAAAATACTACCGTATTTTAGCGCTTCTCTAACAAGTACTTTGTTACAGGGCATGGGTATTCCTGTCGGAAAACTTTCTTTGTACACAGCTCTTGGAGGAATTCGTCCCTCCCTGGTAAAACTCAGTTCGATTTAATGTGTATCATGACTGATTTGTCGTGATTATCAATCCAGTGTTTGCCTATCACGATTGACGTTGGTACCAACAACAAAAAACTTCTTGATGATCCCTACTACATCGGCTTGAAGCAAAAGCGCGTAACTGGACAGGTAAAAATTGTCTTGCTCCATTTTCTTGTCTTGTATGTATTTCTCAATTTGTGATGTTTCTCAGGAATATGACTCCCTCATTCACGAGTTCATGGTTGCTGTCAAGCAAGAATACGGAGAGAAGGTTTTGGTTCAGGTTAGTAACGTGCTTTTAGACATGGTTCTTTTATTTGGATTTATTAGGAAAGTTCTAATTCTTTGAGTTTCAGTTCGAAGACTTTGCGAATCACAATGCATTCAAGCTTCTTGCTAAGTACGGAAGATCTCATCTCGTTTTTAATGATGATATTCAGGTAGATTTTGTGTGCAACACTTGTGGTGTTTACTACGTTATTTCTATTTTATTGTTTTGTAATAACTAGGGAACCGCGGCTGTGGCTCTCGCTGGCTTGTTGGCTAGTCTCCCTCTAACAGGTGGAACTTTGGCTGACCATAAGTTCCTCTTCCTTGGTGCCGGCGAGGTGAGTTTTATTCAGGCTTTTTATTCTTCTTTTTATTTGTTTTACATCAGGCTGGCACTGGTATTGCGGAGATTATCGCCATGGAAATTTCACGACAGGTATCTTGTCTTTTGGAGCTAGTTTGAAATGGCGAGGTGAATCATAAATGTCTTTGCAGGGAGGAATTTCATTGGAAGAAGCACGGACGAAGATTTCGCTTGTCGACTCAAAGGTCGGTCCGCTCCTGCTAGTTGACTTGCTTGTGCTGACAATTAAGCTTTTTATACAGGGGCTCATTGTCAAGTCGCGATTGGAATCTCTGCAGCATTTCAAGAGAGACTGGGCCCATGAACACGAACCTTGCAAGGACTTGCTGACTTCTGTGAAGGTGGAATCAATTCTAAGCTTTTACTTGGATTTTGTATTGACTCCTAGGCTGGTTTACAGGCATTGAAACCCACAGTTTTGATTGGAACGTCAGGGCAAGGACAAACATTCACCAAGGAAGTCATCGAGGCTCTAGCTTCCTTTAACAAGGTAGGAATTAGTAAGTTTTCCAAACGAGCTTGTGTTTATTCTTTCGCCTCTCTGTTTAGAAACCAATTATCATGGCGTTGTCGAATCCTACGTCTCAGTCCGAGTGCACAGCGGAGCAAGCTTATACCTGGACCAAGGTAACAGTTCATCGATCGACCACTTGAGTTTCAAGCTTATGTTTCTTTTGCTTGTTCAGGGTAACTGCGTGTTTGCGAGTGGAAGTCCGTTCTTGCCAATCACAATTGACGGCAAAACTTACTACACCGGTCAGGTACGAAATTTCCATGGTTAAAAGCAAATCGTTTCTGACCGGTTTTATCTCCTTCTGAAGTCCAACAATGCATACATCTTCCCAGGGATCGGACTGGGCTGCACCATGTCGGGAGCCATCCGAGTCCATGACGATATGTTCTTGAAAGCTGGTAAGCAAAATTAGCTATCAAATTCTCCCCGACGTTGTCTTAACTCTCCGACGTCCCTGCAGCTGAGGCACTGGCAGCACTCGTCACCAAAGAACACTTGAACCTGGGGCTGGTCTTCCCTCCCTTCCAAAACATCCGGAAGATCTCAGCACACATAGCCGCTGCTGTGGCTGAGACAGCATACGAAAAAGGTAGAGAAAAAACTATCTTT